CTGATCCCGGCGGAGGTTCCCAAAGGTATCAAGATCGACGTGCTCATCACCGAATCCACCTTCGGTATCTCGTCTACCCCGCCCCGTCTGGAGCGTGAAGCCGCCTTGATGAAGTCGGTCACCGGTGTTTTGAATCGTGGTGGCAGGGTCTTAATGCCGGTATTTGCTCTAGGTCGCGCCCAAGAAATCCTACTCATCTTGGATGAATATTGGGATACACACCCCGAGCTGCAGAGGATCCCTATCTACTACATCGGTAATACGGCCCGAAGATGTATGAACGTGTATCAGACATATATACATTCAATGAACGATAACATTAAGCGGCTCCACCGTCAGCGTATGGCGGAGGCGGAGGCGCGTGGAGACAACGCATTGAGTGTAGGACCCTGGGATTTCAAGTTCGTCCGGAGTCTGCGCAGCTTGGAGCGCTTTGATGATGTAGGAGGCTGTGTCATGCTGGCTTCGCCGGGTATGCTCCAGACGGGAACCAGTCGAGAGCTGCTGGAGCGATGGGCCCCCAACGAACGCAACGGCATTGTCATGACCGGTTACAGTGTGGAAGGCACGATGGCCAAACAGATCTTGAATGAGCCAGAACAGATTCCCGCGGTGATGTCTAGAGCAGCGTCAGGGATGGTGAGACGAAACGGCGACGAGGAGCAAAAGGTCATGATTCCCCGACGGTGTACTGTGGATGAGATCAGTTTCGCAGCCCATGTGGACGGTGTTCAGAACCGGAACTTCATTGAGGAAATCTCCGCACCTGTTGTGGTATGTATATCTCCGAGCAGGATTGTGACACCACACTGACTGACCTGTTTAGATCCTGGTCCACGGCGAGAAACATCAGATGATGCGTCTCAAGTCCAAATTGCTCAGCCTAAACGCCGAGAAGACCGTCAAAGTGAAGGTGTACACTCCGGCCAACTGCGATGAGGTCCGCATTCCTTTCAAGAAGGACAAGATTGCAAAGGTTGTTGGTAAATTGGCCCAAGTGGCACCTCCGACCGAGGAGGACGACGGTCACTTGATGACTGGAGTTCTCGTAGAGAACGGCTTTGACTTGTCGTTGATGGCTCCTGACGATCTCAGGGAGTACGCTGGTCTCACCACAACCACCATCGTATGCAAGCAGCATCTCACACTGAGCTCTGCAAGCATAGACTTGATCAGGTGGGCACTTGAGGGGACTTTCGGCGCTATTGAAGAGGTGGGCGCTCCACAAAAGGAGATCAAGAAGGAAAGCGCAGACGGCACTTTAGATACGGAAGCGAGCCAGATCAAAGAAGAGGCTGCTGATGAGGAAATCCCTATGGAGGACACACAAACGTACCTTGTCATGGGCTGTGTGCTACTTCGCTACCATCCTCGCACCCGTGAGCTTGAGCTCGAGTGGGAGGGTAACATTATGAACGATGGAGTCGCGGACGCCGTTATGGCCGTTCTTCTCACGGTGGAAAGCAGCCCTGCATCTGTGAAACGTATGTTGGTATCTGGGCATGATTGCGATGTATATGGCTAACTCGTCTTGCAGAATCCGCGAAGCAAAACCATCACCACCACCACCACCATCATCAATACGACGGTGTTGACGAATTGCCCAATCCCCACTCTAACCTAGGACCGGAAGAGCGATTTCGACGCCTGCTCATGATGCTACAAGCACAATTTGGGTCTGAAATCGTGGCCATCGAGCGTCCACGACTCCCTCCTAACCGGCTCACAAACGGCACTGCCAAGCCCGAGACCAAAAGCGAGGCTGGCGACCAAACGCCCATCAAGCAAGAGGACGAGGAAGAAGACGAGGATGACGAAACGACGGAGGAGCTAGAAGCGGCCGAGTTGGCTCGTCTCGAGGCGCTGGGTATCCCCTTTCCGGGACTTGAGATCAAGGTTGACAAGCACGTTGCGCGGGTCTGGCTGGAGACTCTGGAGGTGGAGTGTGCGAACGCAGTGCTGAGGGACCGGATTCGGGTGGTCATTGAACGGGCCGTCGAAACGGTGGCGAGCATGTGGCAGGAGGGACCGGCGCCTGCCACCATTGCCAACGGAGATAGCAAGGAGGATAGTTCGATGTCCAAGGCTGCGGCCATCGAGGCCAAGGCATAGATACTTGCAGTTTTGTGTACTGTACTTGTAGTCCTTGTTTGGGTCTGGGCCAAGCTGCGCCTGGGCGTACATGTCTTAGCGAGAATGATGATTCAGAAACAATTTCCATTGGAAGTAACTCTTGCTTATGCATGATATTGTAGCCTAGCCAATTTAAAATGCATGCAATAGTGAAAATGCGCTATTTGTGAAGCATCCCAGTACTGATCCCCCCCCATGTACCTACCGTAAACAACATACTCAATCATAGCTTTCCCACCATTCCAACCTTCAACCTCTCAAAAACCGCCTCAATCACCTCGCCCGTCTTCCGAACAATCAAATCCACCTCCTCCTGGGTGACATTATACGGCGGCGCCAACAACACATGGTCCCCTCGCACCCCATCCACCGTCCCATTGCCGGCATACAACGAGATGGCAAACCGAGGATCCATCCCCATCTCCTGCACCAGCCCCGCCACCTTCGCCTCCGGACTGAACGGCTTCTTTGTCGCTTTATCCCTGACAAACTCAATCTACACCACCGCGCATGAATCCGGGTCAGCCATCGATCATCCAAGCTTTCGTCCAATGTGCACTGGAAACACAACAAGAGGGAAACGGATTACTCACCCCCCAAAACAACCCCCTCCCCCTAATATCCCCAACATGCGGATGGGTCCCCAACCGCTCCGTCAACTTCTGCCCGAGATACGTCCCCATCCGCCGTACATTTTCGAGGAGGTGATCCCGCTGGATGACCTTCTGCACCGCCAGCGCGGCCGCGCACCCCACCGGATGGCCCTGGTAGGTCTGGCCGTGCCGAAACACCCCCGTGCCGGCGTCGAGCATCCGCACGACCTTTTCGTGGATGAGGAGCCCCGAGACCGGCGCGTAGCCGCCGCCCAGCCCCTTGCCGATGGCTTGGAGGTCCGGGACCACGCCCTCGGGCTCCCAGGCGTGCAGCGTGCCGCAGCGGCCCATGCCGCTCATGACTTCATCGAGGATGAGGAGGGCGCCGTGTTTGTGGACGATGCGTTGGATGGCGGGGAGGTAGGTGGGGAGCGGGGGGAGGGCGGCTAGGCTCTATTTCTCGGGGGGTGGAAGTTAGACGTTGTTTGTGAGGGGGCCTAAGGGGCAGGTTATGGAGATAGGGGGTGGGAGATGAGCTAGAGATATAGCTTGGCAAGGGGAAATGAAGTACGTACAGCTCCGACGACGGTCTCCATGACGAATGCGCAGACGTTCTCGGGTCCGACACGCTGGAACTCGGCGTCTAGTTCTGCGGCGAGCCGGGCGACGTAGTCCGTATCGGACTCGTTGGCATTCTTGCCGCGGTAGGGGTAGCATGGCGAAACGTGGGAGGTGTTGGTCGATAGGAGGGGTTCGAAGGGCTGTCGGCGGGTGGTGTGGCCCCCGACAGAGAGAGCACCCAGCGTCACGCCGTGGTAGGAGGGTTTGCGGGCGATGAAGCGTGTGCGCTGGGGCTGCGGGGTGGGGAGCTCGAGGAAGTATTGGCGCGCGAGCTTGAGGGCTGCTTCGATTGCTTCTGAGCCTGCGGGGGTGCTGATGCTTAGCATTTCATGTTTGCTGTAAGGTGTGAGATTGGGGTAGAAGGGGGGGGGGGGGACGGGGGCTCTTACCGGAGCTCACGATAAACGCTTTCGATAGTTGACCTCCGGTCGATTCAGCCAGGAACCGACCGAGCTCCTCGGATGCTTCTGTGCTGAAGAAGGCGGAGTGGCAGTAGGACAGCTGGTTCATTTGGTCGGTGATTGCCTGTTGGATCTCCTCGTGGCCGTGGCCGAGACACGCGACGGCCGCACCGCCGGTCGAGTCGAGGAACTTGGCCCCATCTTCGAGGTAGATGTAGCAGCCTTTCCCGCCGATGGCCTTCTTGGGTATGTGCTGAGTGTCTCTGTGGAGAACGGCGCTCTGAGTGGAAGGCTCTGGTTCTGTGTTAGTATTGCTTGTAGCGAGGTATACTTGCGCGAGTATGGGTTCAGGAAGTGTGCTGTACCTGGTTTCGTCATGGTTGAACAAATTCGAGATCGAACTATCAGTGTATCAATCGCTTGTGTGATTGCACGAGCCAGAGTAGATGTGAGTTCATGTTTGATGGCAGGGACGTTGCTCGTATTTATGTGTGGGAGTTCAGAACATTCACCTTTGTTCTGAACTTCTGGCTGTACCTCATGTGTGGGGAGAGAGCGGGGGTGAAATCGGCAAGCCGATCGCGTCTGGAGAAGCCGAGGGTGTGGTTGGCTGCCCCCGCCGACGGGGCCGATCTCCGGGGTCGACTTACAGTGCCTCAGTGATACTATGTAACTTGATAAGTCATAACACTTCCAGATCTGAGTAATCGAAGATAAGTTCAAGAGTGCTAGAGTGTTATCCTAGAGATATGGCCATCAGAAGCGATCAATGATCGGCAATAGACCATCTCGTACACTACATAGCATATAGGTGGGTTTGCAAAGAGGTCGTAGAGGTACTGGCAATGGTTGTGATTTGTTCGAGCTCTGACTTTAGTATAACTCTATATCGATGGTAAGTGAGTTCAGATACTTTACTTGATCAGTCAGGAGTTTAAAGAAGCCATTGGGCTGCTCCGATCTACCTCGTTGATGATACAGATAATATGCGGCTGGGTAAGAATCACAATGGCGAGATCTACTACTTCAGGAAATTTATACTCAACAAGAGCAGTTTCAGAGTATACTGGTCTGTCAGTTTCTATGAAAATGTACAGTATATGAGCGGAGGTGAACTCGGAGCATTCTCAACCCGCAGCTAACTCACCACGAGCTGTTGTAGCTGTGGCGTGGCGGGCGGTGGAGCGAGTGTCCCGCTCCGCACCAGTTGGCCGGCCGGCCACTAAAACTTCCCTTCCGCACAGAAAGGCCAGCCAGCCAAACGGACCTCTCTCCACTCCAAACACAGCTCCCTCCCCCCTCCCTCTCCCTCATCTCCTCTCCAACTCCCCCGTCGTTCTCTTCTCTACTCGATCCGATAAACAACACACATCCAACTTCACCGGAGCAACACACACAGCCTTTCATCATGTCGCGAGCAGCCCGAGTCGAGGAGGTGTACGACTCCGACCCCGAGGAAGTTGCGCCCTCCGCCAGCTTCGCCAACGATGCCATTATTTCTCCTGCTGGCATCCCCACCACGTCCTCTATGCCCACGAGGCCTCCCCCGGAGCCCACGCGCGAGATCCCTAAACACTACCAATGCTTGTACCCCATATACTTCGACAAGTCTCGGTCCCGCGCCGAGGGCCGCAAGGTCGGCGCTGAACTGGCCGTCGAGAACCCATTGGCTCGAGACATCGTCGATGCAGTGCAGATGATGGGGTTGACCGTGGGCTTCGAGCCGGAGAAGTTGCATCCCAAGGACTGGGCCAACCCTGGTCGCGTGCGCGTGATGCTGAAAGACGAGAGTGGCCAGTTGGTCAACCCGCAAATCAAGAACAGTATGCTCAATTCTTTAACCATCCTAGTTGCCGGACACCAGTCGACGAGCGTTGGCGCTGATACTTCCTCCTCTAGAACACCATCTATACATCCTTGTGGCGCAGTACCTCAAATCTCACCCAACTACCGAAGAATCGCCCTACCGGCTGAGAATCAGAGGACTTCCGGTGCCTGAGAAACTCCCCGGTGCTCCCCCCGCTCCCCGGGGCTGGAAGATCGGAAAGATTCTCCCCATCCACTCCCCCGCCTACAGCGGTGGCGGTGTCAGCGATAACCCGCTCAAGGACGCCATGGCTGAGATGCAAAACATGCAGGGCATGCCCGGTATGCCTGAGATACCCGGAATGGCGGATCTGGCAAACATGATGGGCGGTTTAGGAGGTCTGGGTGGCTTGGGTGGTGGCAGCCCTGCCGCTCCCAGCGGCAGTGAAAAGAAGAAGAAGGACAAGAAGAAGGGCAAGGCTTAGGATGTCTGATCTACTCCACCCTTGTGGTGTGTCATGTGGTATATATGCTTTGGGTTGCATGGGCATGGGCGAAAGGCGTTTTGTTGCTTCCAGATATAAAGAGCATCATTGCTGTTCTCATGATACCAACTTGATATTGGAGCCATCCTTCCTTTTGGTTTGTGTCGTAGGATAGAACACCCATGTGGCGAGGACTCTGCTAGTTTCTCAATGTAGATATGAGACCTGTTTTTTACACGGGTGTGCCAGCCTCAAATGCTCCCCATTCTTGCATCTATATTTCGAACAACAGGGACTTATTTTTTTTTTTTTGAATGAATTCCCAAGCTGGTGAAGGAGTGTAGCTGGCTTGGGTATGAGGCGGCTGTTATTGGCCGAGGTGACGGCGATTGCCGATAACGCTCTTCTTACCCCGGATGCCATCAATAATCACGGGCACTCCCAATTGAGGCCCCGCTGAACTGGAGATTATTCTTTCAGAATTCCACGTCTCGATTTTCGCACCCACTGCGCGAAATTCATTGCATGATTCAGTCTTCATCGCGCTACTCACTCATGGACTAAAGAGACTTGGCCCAAGCGCAGCAGCCTCAGCTCTCCCCCCATGAATCACCCTCCTGCGCCGTCAATGGATCACAGCACCCCGCCACTGCGACCGAGGGACCATGAACACCAGCTCACCTCCCAGCAACCCCTCCAACCCAGGGCAAGCCAACCCCAGCTCCAAATCTCCGCGACGCTATAGCAACTATGACGCCACCCCTGCCTCTGCTTCCTCTTCCTCCTCCGCGGCGCCCCGGGTCGGGAAACCGGGAGGTCGTCAGATCACGCGGAACCGCGCCAGCTACAGCTGCCATACCTGTCGGAGACGGAAGGTGAAATGCGACAAGGTATGTTTGTTGTCTGGAATAACTCTTCCATTCGTGCAGAGCGTTCGCAAATTAACTTTCACCTTCCCTTGTGAAAATCCTCAGGTCCATCCAATCTGCGGGAACTGCCAAAAGAACGAAACCGAATGTGTCTACGATGTCTCCGCGCAGAAAGACGCGGAGGCGCGCAATGCGCCGCCAGCCAAGGACGGCCAGGGTGTCAAGCGACGGAGGGAGTCATCGCAGCAGCTGGACGACGACATGGATGAGCTTCAATCCATCTACGGCCATTTGAAGCGGTCCGGCTCGGCGGAGCAGCAGAGGCTCGGGTCACAAGGGATCGAGGCGCGGTTGGATAAGCTCACGTCCATGATTGAGCGGCTCAGTAAAACCAACAGTCAGGCATTGGATCCGGCGGAGAAGCGGTTGCTGCTGCAAAGTGCGGGCTCGGATTCGTCTAAGAGAGCACCTCACCGTGTGGCCGGCGCGGCGGTTGCGTCTGCGTCTGCGTCTGCGACGAAGGCCTCCGATGCAGCGCGCTCGGACAGCCCGCGTCGCGTGGCGGATTCGAGTGGGGATGAGTTCCCGATCCCTGCCGGTCATGCTACGGACTTGGTCGATCCGGTGGGGAGTCTGAATTTGGGTCATCTGAGTTTGGAGGATGGAGGTCGGTCGAGGTAGGTTTCCTGGTGTGGGAGGAAGAAGCTCTGTGGCTTATCGTGATGCAGATATGTGGGAACTACGTACTGGGCTTATATTTCTCATGAGGTACAAATTGAAGTCTTCGACTACTGCTGCAGTATTTGTTTGCTAACGGCAAGCAGATCAACGAGCTCAATCAACTACTTAGGGTCCAAAACCGATCGCATAATGAGCGGAACTCGCAGGACACTTCTGCTGAAGATACAACGACGGAACCTATGGAAGCGACGCCTAGCCGTCAATGGAAGCCAGTGCCAGATGTGTCTGGTGAGCTTGCAACCGATCAGGCCTCCCGGGGAGAAAGGTTCCAGAAATCTGTGCTGTTTCCATCAGGTGAATCGCCTTCGGTCAAGGACAAGGTGGTTGAGCCTGAGATGCTGGAGAGTATGCCGACAAAGCGACAAAGTCACATCCTGTACAAAGGATTCATGTCTGGAGTCCACGCAATCACTCCAGTGATCCACCCACCGACAATACACAAACTCTACTACTCGTTTTGGGACTGGTATGACTCCAGCAGCTATTCGGGAGACCCTTGCCCAGACCCGTCATTCATCCCGTTGCTTTATGCCATCTGGTATGGTGGATCTGTCACGATATCACTACGAACCATCAAGGCTGAATTCAATGTGTCGTCCCGCTCAACACTCTCCAAGGCATACAACGATGAAGTTACAAGATGGTTGACCAAAATCTCTTTCCCTCGAAGCCCGTCTCTGCAAGGCCTGGCTGCATATCTCCTGGTTCAGACGATACTCGCGAAAGAAGAGGAGCCTCTAACGAGCAGTCTGTTCGTCAGTCTCGCGATGAGGGTAGCTCAAACCATGGGCTTACATCGAGATCCTGCGAAATTCGGTATTGATCCCTGTGAAGCAGAATATCGTCGTCGCATATGGTGGCATATCGTCCACATGGATGGTGTGGTCGCCATGTCCAGTGGATTGCCTCCCTTGGTCAGTGACGAGAATTACTGGGATGTTCGCGACAGTAGCGAGGTGAAAGACACCTTGCTCGGTACTCCAGAGGCTGAAAAGTATGATCGACTAGTCATGACCGGCTTACGGCTCCCTGACAACCCAGACGAACCAACCATTTGTGGCGGTCCCTCGATGGTCAACGTATACTATCTGGCAGCCCGGGGAAAGTATACGATGGCTCGTAAGTTTTAATCAACGCGAAATAATGGCATAGAAAGTCTAATATGTGCTCTATAGGTGCTGTTCGACGGATCTTGAAGATCCAGCTGGGTACCAGGCCCTTGACACGGCGGGATATGGAAGAGCTTAGGGCGATTCTGGTTGAGTTGCAGCAGAACTTGAACTCCATCGTCTCCCGTATACCAGAAGCGGACTCGACCGATGTTTCTTCGGTTCCCTCGACTAGGTCTTGGTCTACCTCCTCGCTTGCTGAAAAACGCAGCAGCGATATTGAGCTTCCCGGAGAAGGGCCGAACGGCTGTCCTGAGCAGTACCATTCCCCAGTTCTTGTGTCTTTCCACAAGTGGGCCAGGATTGTCCTCTCACTCTTCATTGACAAGGTACGTAAGCACACTTTATTTTCCCGTAGCACACGAAATCTATGCTAATGAATGCTAGGCATTCTGTGTCGCCTATCAACCTTTTCTGAAGAATGCAAAGAGCCGGATCTGGCCAGCTGCGAGACAAAGGTGCGTCCCACTTGATTGATATCTCTGGTAGTTACTGACGTGGCATAGCGCTCTCCGCCATTGTCATGGCTTCATGGAGAAGTTTGTTTCTCTCGCAACCGACCCTGATTTTCAGCCGTTCCAATGGAGCTGGCCCGGTAATCACCAGCCAATGCACGCCACTATGATCATGCTCATTGATCTCTACGAACGGCCCTATAGTGCCGAGGCGCCCAAATCACGGGCCTACATTGACAAAATCTTCTCCATGACCGGCCCCGATGGAGGAGTTGTTGGGGGTGAAGATGGCATTTCAACTCAACGACCCTTGAACGACGGGGGCCGCGAGGCATGGGACATGATCCGTAGGCTGCGGCAGCAGGCCTGGCAGCGAGCTGGACTCGATCCAAGTCGACTATGGTCCGAACAGGCGCAGATCCAAGCGGGCGTGGCCTCCAACGTTGATGACCATACATCTGCCATTGAAGCAGATGCTGCCTCCCGGCGACAGCCCAGGGACTTCTCCAAGCTACTTCACAACACGACTCGATCTCACCTCCGCCCCAGCTCATCACTCCGCTATCAACTCCCTTCTCCCACCCAGCAGCATCACCAGCATCAGCAGCAACAACGACAAGAACAGCGAAGATCCCCTTCGCAATCAGCCAGCCCCCAAATGATGTCTCCCGACCCCCACCACCGCCCCTCCTCCGCATCCCCCTCCTCCCCAATCGCCCAACAACAACAACCAAGCAGCGAACCGTCCCCCTCGTCACCCCTGCCCCAACCCGGAGGTGGTCCCTCGACCACCACGACCACCTCCTCCGAGAACCCGAGCACGAACATGCACATGTCCTCCCTACTACCGCCAGGCCTGAACCCAGGCTTCACCTTCAACCAACAATCCCTGCCTTCGGCACCACCTCCTGCGCTGCCCGCCTTCCTCGTCGACGTCGCCGCCTCCGCCGCCGCCTCGCCCGCCACGCAGGCCATGACCGGGGTCCCCACCCCGCCCTCCATGGTGGATCCGAACTTAAACTTCGACTGGGACCAGTGGGACGCCGTCTTCGGGCAGCACCTGCCCGTCGCCGACGAGCTCATGGAGCTCGACCCGGTCACCGGGTTCGAGTTTGGGGATTTGGGTATGGAGGGTAGTCCAGGTGCTGGGGCTGGGGCTGGGGCCGGGGCCGGGGCTGGCGGAGAGATGTCCTCGCATCGGTCTACTTGGGCGGGGTATTGAATTTATACATACATAGTAGAAATGAAAGTGATTCGATCTCTCTCGTGTTTGTTTGGGTGTACTATATAGAATCCGTCCATCAAACCACATGACGAATTCACAGTGCACGGTTGGTAATGTAGAATGTGCATTTGACTTTTTAGGGTGTAGTTTTACTTTCAGTCGGTGAATTCTTATGTATACCCAAAGTACCATTTACTGGAAATCTAGAAAGATTGATAGAAGATGAAGATAGGGGGAACGCTTGAGAAAAAGTTATGGAATTCATGAGGCGTGACTTTTGGTCTAAAGAGCAACAAACGGTTGTTTGCTATTTTAACCAAGGATTTTCTTGATTCATGACAACATTCTTCGCACAACAAGGTTGAGGTTGAGGATGTGGGGGTTTGAGCGGGAGACGTTCAAGAGGGGTATAATTAATCTTTTTATTTGAAAAGGCTGACTTGTAATTTTCCCTTAGACCTTGACCTCGCGGAGACCGTGCTTCCAGAGGGTGGCGTAGGGGGTGACACCGTCTTCACGGAAGTCAATGAGGACGTGCCTGCAATTATATTAGCAAATTGTTTGGATTTAGTCGGAATAAGGAAACATACATAGCATCACCGTCCATGGACTGACCCATGAGGACATCGTAGTTGTCGTAGTTGGCCAGGATCTTCTTGACGGCACCGGGGGCACCCTTCTTGAACTCGTTGATGGTCTCCTCGCTGGCACCGGTCTCCTGGAGCTTGGTGAGGACCTTCTTCATGTAGCCTATTTGGTACGCGAGTTAGCCAGTTGTTTCCGATTCGATTCTTGGTTGCTTGTTGTTTGTTTGTGTGTGTGGTGTGGTTGACGGGGAACATACTCTTGAGGTGAGACTTGAAGGCATCCTTGGAGGGCTTGAGGCCCTCCTCGGTCTTGAGCCAGACGAGACGGAACTGGTCCTCGATGTCGTGGACCATGACCTTCTCACCCTCACCACCCTCATCCTCATCACCACCCTCAGCGGAGGGGTTGGCACCCTCGAGCTGGAAGTCCTCGTTGGTGCTCTTCATGTACTTGCGGCAGTCGCACTCGAAGAGAACGCCGTCGACGACCTTCAGGTTGAAGGTGTCGGCGACCATCTCGTCGCCGGAGATAATGTCCTATTCCAGAGTTGATGCATTAGTGGGGTGTCTTTCATTTGGGTATATTGCAAATCGGGAGGTGATAAGGCAAAGGTCGAGGCAGAGGAGCAAGAGACAGGTCCAACAGCTACAGCTGCATGCGGCATGTACAGGATGCTTGCTGCTGCTGCTTCTGCTGCTGCTGCTGTTGTTGTTGTCGTTGTTGACATTCCTGCCAGGTTGCCTGCCTGCCTGTCATGCTGCATTGGGCTGAAAAGCGGCCTTCCCCCCCCCCAAAAGCAACGTGGTTGTTTTGCCAAGGAAACAGAGACAACAATCACGAAGAAACGAAAGCAAAGAAGATAAAAAAAATCAGCATACCTCAAAGATAATCATTTTGGCTGGTGAGGCGGGTGAAGATGAAAAGAGATGGGAATGAAGGTAAAAAGAGACGGGGCTGGAAAAGAAAGGAAGGGAAAAGGAAGAGGAGAAAAAGAGGGGAAGAGTTGAAGATTAATATTGCTTTTAGTGGCGCTGTTTTCCCTCCAACTTTGGTGGGGTCGTTTTTTTTTTTCTCGCTGGCTTTTTTTCCCTTCCAATTTTCCTTCTTTTCCCTCGAGGGGCAAAACGGATACGCTAACCGGATTGGGCCGTGGTCGATTTGTCTCGGCCTGAGAGGGAAAATGCATCAGAGAACTGGAAAGAGTCTGGAGTCTGCAGTGGAAAAGTCCGATGGCAAATCTGATATTGTGCTTGTGTAGAACAGTGGGGTTGTTTTCTATAATGGGAGAGAGTGGTTGCTGTGTCTTTTGAATTATGAGTACTTTGGAGGTAAGATGGAGATTGTTTGCTGCATAATGTCTACAGGTAGATTACACTGCAGCATCTGATATTACTCCGTAGTTGCTCTCCGTATGCGCATAAGCATCCCCTCTTTCTGCCTAAGGTATCAACCTGAACACCCGGCCTCACCCCCCTCCATGTCCATCCGGTAAATTACCTCGTCACATTTTCGTCTTCGGGTACCTGACCGCCTCCCGTTTGCCTTTCCGTCTGCTGTTTGCAGCCACCAACGGTGCCACCAACCACTCGATCAATTTACCATACCTGACAGACCAGTGGTGCCACTGCGGCTACTCTTTCTGCTCTCTCACTCGCTCTCTCTCTCTCTCTGTGTTCTCCATTTCACCCTCTCGCCTCCTCTTCTTCGTTTCCCCTCCCAATCAATCTTCAATCAGTCAGTCTTTATCTTACCCTCCTAAAAAAAAAAGATCAATTCTTCAATCTATCATTCCCTGCTACTATCCTTTACTCTATCTCCTCGTCCTTCCTTTTCTTCCTCCCCTAAATAACCTCAATACTTCCTTCTTCTGTCTCGAGTGATTGAACTTTTGTCTTCTTGTTCTATACCTTCCAGCCCCAACAGTTCTCCGGGCGGGAGTGATTGTCAGCCTCGTTCGTCCCCTGATTTTCATTTCTGGTGGGCCGCTCCCCTGGGCCAGGATTCCGAAGCACAGAGGATCTCACCACCACCACCACCACCAATATCACCCGCCACTTCTCCCCGTCCCACTTACCTTCGGATAGTGCGGACTATATCTTCCTAATTTATCCCTGGTTTCACGGTCTCCTCTTCTCCTTCTAGTCTATCACTATCGCTAGTCGGACTCCCTTATACTCTCAAACCCAGCCTCCCTTCGATCTAAGCGCCGACCAGATCTGCAAGCGGACTGAGCACCAGTAGCTTCGTCCTCCACATCGGCACTTTCAAGCCACCCATGCGGCAGTGTGCTTGATCGATTGTTCCCTTTGCTATTCTACCACATACACAACCCATCGTCAGTCTACGACTGCGAAGCCGTTTCGTCATGGCTACCAATGCCTCGGTCGTCTTCGACCTTCCGCCTCTTCCGACCTATACCCTGACTCCGCGTCCTCCACTTCTCGACCCCATTCCGGACAACCTCCTCGCCCTCATGCTTCCCATCATTGCCTACTGGGCTCTGTCGATGGTCTATCACTACATCGATGTCAACGACTACTTCCCGCAATACCGTCTTCACACACCCGCGGAAGTATTGAAGCGGAATCATGTCACGCGCTGGGAGGTGGTGAGGGATGTCATTCTTCAGCAAGTCATTCAAACCATGGCCGGTCTAGCTGTCGCATATTTCGATGACCCGGAGTACTTGGGCAAGGATGAATACAATGTTGCGGTTTGGGCTCGTCGACTTCGCCTGGCGCAGAAGGCTCTCCCTCAGCTGCTGGCCCTGGTCGGGATCGACGCATTGGGTCTTAGCAAGAACCTGTCGCAGAATGGCTGGTCAATGCTGGGAGGAGCCGTAGCCGGTGGGCGCTACCCGGGATGCACTCAGTCGATGATTTTGGACAGCGGAGTGGAAGCCGTGGTTCCGGCTTTCACCAACTGGGAGCTGTCAGCGGCTAGTGCCCTCTACTGGTACCTCATCCCTGCCTTGCAATTCGTGTGGGCCGTCTGTGTCGTCGACACCTGGCAGTATTTCCTGCACCGCGCCATGCACATGAACCGCTGGCTCTATGGTAAGTGAATCAGCAACTTTCCGCTGCGCAAAGCTCGTGATTCAAAAAGTCTGAGTAAGACCAACTAACTATTGATCAGTGACCTTCCATTCCCGCCACCATCGCTTGTATGTTCCGTATGCGTTCGGAGCTCTGTACAACCACCCCGTCGAAGGTTTTCTGCTTGATACGGCTGGCACTGGGGTTGCATTCCTCACGGCTGGCATGAGCAACCGTCAGGGCATGTGGTTCTTCACTTTTTCCACCATCAAAACCGTGGATGATCACTGCGGCTACGCTTTTCCTTGGGACCCATTGCAGCACTTTACCTCCAACAACGCGGCCTACCATGATATCCACCACCAAAGCTGGGGCATCAAAACCAACTTCTCGCAGCCCTTCTTTACCATCTGGGATCGTTTCTTCAAAACTCGGTGGGAAGGTGAGGTCAAGCTCCGCTATGAGCGGTCCCGCGAAGCTGCCCAGAAGAAGGTGGATAACGAAGCTGCCGGCATCGCCAACGAAAGCAGCGACCCGACCTCTTCCGGGACCTCAACTCCCACGCTCGGCCGGGCATCCGATGAATCGACCTCGCGTCCCCGACGAAGAAAAACTGTGACCCTCTCACCCCACGTCGATGGGTTCAAGGGAGTGAGTCACGGGGTCGCCAGCAGCGTCCTCTAAATCCAAGGCGGCCGTTGCCCTCTTGTGTACGCCTAAAGTTCGCTTGTAACTATTTTCTTGCTAATATTTAACACTCACCGGGTGTCTTGGGAGTTGCAGGCCGTCTCCTAACCATTGCGGATATCGCTGTTTACTCTTCGCTACCTTGACCTTGTCTCATGCTGTATTAATATCCTTTTCGGCCTCGCGGATCCCATGACTATGACTGTACCATGGTTTCATCACTTCTTGCTCAGTACGACATTGGACTGCCACTGGACTACCACGCATGGCTGTGAGACTTCGAAATAATGACCGGTTTCTGCTTTTACTTTTCTCTTCTTTTCATCATTATTTATTAGCTTATTATATGGAGCTTATATTATAATTGAGATGCAATGTACATGGGAAATCAACTTGCTACCTTCAAACGCCGTCGTCCTCTGCAATCAATGGAATTGCCCCCAGTCACCTCAATCTTTCAACCCCGCCTGCTAGTCCCGGACTTGTTGAAGAATGGAATCGCGGATCGCGTGGTGGTATGGATACTACTACACTCTGACGAGGATGGTTCGTCGTGATGGTAGGGTTGGGCTGCTATATGATCAACGAAGGTCGGCGTCCAAAGAGCTTTTTCTTGCAGAGCTATTTCGTTACATATGCTATTCAGATCGAGGTCTTCCAGATCCTCGGAAGGCTCTGCTCGGCGGCGTTGCGTCAAACCCCCGGTCGAGGAAGGGTATCTAGGACCCACGGGAGGTCCTTTGGCAAGGCGCGGCAGCAACAACGCTTGAATCTCGTGCTCTAGCCTGTCTTCCTCCAAATCCGAACTGCTAGAGGAAGGGGCTTTCACCATGCGGGCCTCTGGCGAGGCACCTTCGTCATGGATGAGGGTAGCATTTTCCTCTCCCAAGCTCGGTTTCTTCACGTTCAAGGGACGAACTGTTACCATATTGTCAGCAGTGGATTTTGAATGGCTCGGGGTTACCAGGATGGCGGTTCCCGCGTAATCAACCTGTACTTTGGTAGCCTCCTTGACGACGATATCCTCAACACCTGCCTCCTCCGCGATACTGTCGAGGTGCGGCAGCCGTGTGGTTCTGGCATGTTTGGGTTTGGGCTGCTTGACCGACTTCTTCCGTCGTCGGGGGCTGGGAGCCATCCTGACATGGGCCGTGGAACGATCATCTGCCTGCTGCAAGTCCTCGTCTGTGTAGATGATTTCCTCGGGTTGGTACGGATGATCTGCTGCGCGAGAGCGCGTGCGGTGCCGCAGCTTGTCGTTCAGGACTTGCTCCCTTTGCATCACTTTGTTCGCCTGACGGAGCTGCCGAGCGGCAACATATAGAGCGTCCGCGCGCGCGGCCTTGACCTTGAAGGCCAGGCAGCTGCTCGTGTAGCCCAAGTCGCACGGAAGGCCTCCGTAGGCCTTGACTGCCGCCTCCCCCTCAGGAGCGAACGACCCGATGGCCGCGTCCACGAAAGGGAGCAATTTCGGGATCCGGATTTCAGGTTTGGTTCGCACGCGACTGACCAGCGCTGTGCGGAGGTTGCGCAGACACCATGGCTCATCCACGATTCTCGCCAACATACACGCCTCGCATTTGTTCTCCTGGAAGCAGACCGCGCCCTTGGGGGGCACGTCGTCCTTGGCCTCCGGCATCCACCACATTCCGGTAACCGCCAGCAGGGCGTCGACGAGGTTGTTGACCGCCTCGTCCGAGAACTCGCGGTACCACTTCAAGAAGGTCAGATTGTGGGACACCTCCCGCTGGAGCAGCGCGAAGAGGCTGCCGATGACATAGGCGTTGAGCTCCTCGTGGACCTCGCACAGCACGGCGGCCTCCGCATCGTGGCGCAGCATGCGCACCCACTTGGAGCGCTGGCGGAGCTCCGTCGGCAGCCCGCGGATGGCTTCCTTGATCTGCTGCACGACCTGGGGACTGCGGATCTGCCCGAGATACTCGGTCTCGGCGGCGTCCTGGTCGCTGTCGATGCTCAGGACTTCGATTAGTTTCTTCAGCTGCTGTTTGGTGAGGTCAGCGGCATAATGAGGGTAGTAGTCCAGCATTTTGAACGATGTTGTGGGGTTTTGGGTTTGGATGGCTTGGCTTGGCTTACAGGCACACAGATTTGGGCTTGAAGATTTGTGCTAAACAACTACTATAGTCCACGCGGCGAAGCGTTTTCCTCTGCTTAGTGGATGTATTATATATAACAGCATAAAAGCACTGAGCACTCAAGTGAATCTGCGTGGCGTGTGTGAGTGACCCGGAAGATCACGGGTGGCCAAGGGCAATTTATAGGCTCATTGGGAAGTTTGGTTTCCAACTTTCACAGGGTAATATCCGGGGGATTGTCATTCTCTGGTTTATGATCAGTTCAAGTATTGAGATTCTGGTCAATAGGCTATGCCATTGTACTGATGGGGGACAAGGCCCCTAATATCACGCTCATTGTTTAGGCTTCTTTGAACGCTATTGCGTTGATTGTACTGAGTCAAGCCCTAAGATTGTTGGGGGGGGGGCTTGAACCTCAGATCCTGCCATTCATGCGTAGCCCAAGAACCGGAGATCTTCAGTTATCATTATCGTTTATTTTCTTTGTGATGAAAGAAGTTGACGAAGATTGTCGGTGTGATTTGTGCCTCGTTGGCGAAGCAGGATTGACAGCTGTCACTTGTGCACCATATTACAACTTAAGGGCCTTGAGTGATCCTTGACTATGGAAGTAACTCTTGATGTTGCTTGAAGTGTAGGTAGATAGAGTGGGAGAACGCTGGCTGCCTTAGGCATGAACCCGGTATCAGCCGTTCCTCTTATTAGAGGAGGGCTTATCTGATGGCAGCCACAGGCAGCCACGGGCAGCGAGACTCATCGCATCCAGTCTATCCATGGTTCGGAGCCAAGGGTTTGGTCCGATATCCTCTCCATTGGCAGGTTTACCTCAATTTTCCCTTTTCCCCCCCCCCCCCCCCGCTATCGGCAACGTCCGTTATTTTCCTCTGCTAGCGATGACACCACTTTCCTCCTCTTTCCCCTCTCCAATTTCCCTTCTCCAAGCTCCCTCTCCCCTCCCACGCCCACCTTTTCCCCGCCAGCCCCAGTTAGCGCTGCTAGTCCCTTGCTTAGGCCTTTATCCGGCGAATTGTCCTCCTGCACACGCAATGGGCGCTGCGGCCGTCGAATAACAGTTGCCGACGAAAGAGACCGATGATAAGCCTCACAAAAGCTTTGCGTGCTCGGTTATGACGGGATTTTCTGCTTCTGCCCATGAGTTGATTGAGCCTTTCCCCTTGCTGTGCTCTTTCTCTCCTTCTCCCTCTCATCGCCCGTCTCACAATGGAGCACTTCATTGCGCCCTTTCAACAGGCGATCGGGCCTGTGATCGCTCAGCTTCCGGGAGAGATCACTGAATATGTCCCTGACCATGGCCTTTCTCAGCGGTGAGTGACTTGTCCCCCATTGCTAATTTCCAGTATGGTACACTGTGAACTAACGAGCGTGGGCCCATCTTGCAGAAGTATATGGCAAAATCGCACCCGGCGGGCGTCGGCTTTTATAGCTACTGGGAACCTGCATCTAGTTATATTACTGGTATCATGGGCAATCGCTTTGTTTCCGATACTCCTGCGGTTCCTTTGTCGGGCCTGTCGGCCCAAGTCGCGTGACAACCTCAAGTCCACAGCAGTAGACGGCCCGTCGGAGATCCTGGTGCACCTGCCCTCCGCATTCGCGCACCTGGCTGCTGCTCTCGCCGCCTGCTGTCTGAGCTGGCTCGACCTGCGGCACGGCGGGAGCTGGAAACGGTCTCTGTTGTTGACATACGTGGTTTTGCTGGGCGTGGGCTATATCTGCTGCAAGAACAAGGGCTATCGAACACACCTCTATCGGCACATGAACGGTGTGGTGGTGGCGGCCCTGGCGTTGGCCGTGGTGCAGGATCTGGTACCCATGACCATCGTCGAGGCGACCTACCGGCCGAGCTCCGTTGGCGCTGGAATTGTCGCTAGCTTGGCCGCTGGGGTTGTGATCGCGCTCGGAACCCCCCGTCCACGACGGCCGATGATCCGCGACGCGGAGATCGAGCGCTCCGTGAAGGAGGAGAACGCGTCGCCGGAGGAGACGTGCTCCCTGTTCTCCTACTACTGCTCGTATGAGTGGATCACCTATGTGATCTTCCGGGGCTGTCGGCGAGATCTGACCATGGATGATCTCCCGCCTCTGCCGTCCTACGACGAACCCTTGAGGTGGCTGGAGAAGATCAAAAGGCAGCGCCGCAAGGGCGGCAAGACCTTCCGCACGCTGTGCCGCTTGCTGAAGACCGAGATCAACACCATGATGACTTGGTCGGCCATGACGGCGGTGATTGATTTCATGGCGCCGTATTCGATGCTGCGACTCCTGGCGTATCTGGAGGATCCGGACAGCGCGGTTTTCCACCCTGCGCTGTGGATTGCGCTTTTGTTTGTTGGTCCGATCACCCGCTCGCTGTGTTATCAGCAGTACATCTTCACCTCCACTCGCCTTGTTGTTCGGGTCAATGTTTCGCTTGTTCAGGAGCTGTATCAGACCGCGATGCGCTCTTATATCTACGATGGCTCTGTTGGCGAGCATCACCATCATACCAAGAGGAAAGAGAAGTCTCAGCACGGCGCAGGGCCAAAGGGAACGCCCGGATCAAGCCAGGCGAATTTGACGAGTTTGATGTCGTACGATGTTGACGCTATCTACAACTCCCGTGATATATTCTACCTGGCCACTGCAGGCCCGATATCCATCACACTGGCTCTGGTATTTCTGTACCAGATGCTTGGGTGGCCATCGCTGTTTGGAGTCTTGACGTTACTGTGCTTGTCACCCCTTCCTGCTCTGGCGTCACGGAAGGTATCTCGCATCCAGCGCTCTGTTATGCGGGCTACCGATGCTCGGTTATCCAAGATCTCTGAATACCTGAACTCGATCCGGACTTTGAAGTACTTTGGTTGGGAACATGCTGCCATCGATTCGATCAACAATGTTCGTCGCGTGGAGCAACGCCGTCTGTGGTGGCGGAGTGTGTATGCCGCGTTAATCTCCATGGCTGGAGAGCTGTTGCCGCTGCTGAGCTTACTGGTCATGTTTTCGATCTACATTCTGTTCACAGGTCAACCACTCCGCGCCCCTGTCGCTTTTACCTCCCTGTCGATCATGGAAACGCTGCGAGTCTTGTTTGTCTGGCTTTCGAACGTCAGCAGATACACCGCGCAGGGATCGGAGTCACTCCGCCGCATTGACAACTTTCTTGAGACAGCGGGCGAGATCAAACGGCACCCCGAGGGTCCGTTAGAATTGATCAATGCGACTTTCAAACCGTCGCCTGTCGCCGCTTTCAGGCTGCAGGATGTGACCATCAGATTCAAGCCGAATTCGCTCAACGTCGTAACCGGCCCTACGGGAAGTGGGAAGACGACTCTGCTGCTCTCATGTCTGGGCGAGACCGTCCTGGAGTCAGGCACTGCATACTGTCCCCAGGACGTTGCGTATGTTCCACAAGCTCCTTGGCTCCAGAACGATACGATCCGTCAGAACATCGTTTTCTACAGCCCATTCGACGAGACTAGGTATGCCGCGGTTGTTGAGGCAAGTGGCCTGGCGCAGGATTTGAGACAGCTCCCCGCCGGTGACATGACCCGTGTAGGAGAGAAGGGCACATCTCTATCGGGGGGTCAGAAGCAACGAGTGTCTTTTGCGCGGGCTTTGTATTCGTCATCCTCGACATTACTGCTGGATGATATCTTCTCCGCCCTTGATACCCACACTGCTAGTCTCGTGTACGAGAAGTCTTTCCGCAGTGGATTGCTTAAGGATAGGACTGTCGTTCTGGTCACTCACTACCCCGCTGCTCTGCAAGATGCAGAGTCCATTGTTCGCCTTGTACATGGCAAGCTGGTCCCCGTACAAGCGCTTCCGAGGACGCTCACGCCGGTCCTTGCGTCGCCGTCAGGCTGCAGCACGCCTGGCAGTGAAACAGATTTGATATCAGTTGGGGACGAGCCGGTGGTAGAGCAACCCTTGAACTCGGCGGATCTTCCGGTGCCCCCTGTTCCTCCTGTAGCAGAACAGAAGACTGCGCAAGGAAGAATTGTTGAAGAAACATCTTCTACTGGTCGTGTCCCGCGCACACTAAGTAAGCTTACGGTATTCTTTTACCACGAACGAGCCTTGCTGACCTGCTTATCTAGTGTTCAGCTATATGCGTCTGTTTGGCAGCGTCGGCTACGCCCCTCTTGTCATTCTGGCAACTATCTCGGTCCAATTTGCCTACTTTTCCATCACCTACTGGCTCTCAATCTGGACAGGGGCGTACGAGGAACAGGAACATGTCGACACTCTGTTCTACCTGGGGATCTATGCGGCCGCTATCTTCACTTTCCTCTCCTTGCAGGTCTGCAACAATCTTATATACCAGTATGGCAGCTGGGTGGCCGCCAAGACCATGCATCAGAGGCTAGTGACCGCCGTGCTTTCAGCACCCATTTCTTGGTTTGATCAGAACCCGATTGGACGAGCCATCAATCGATTCGGAAATGACACCCGGTCGATGGACACGATCCTGGTCGAGTGGCTGCGTATGTCCATCGAGAATGCACTGCGGTTCTTGCTTCGCATTGCAAGCGTCGCCTCCATCATGCCGATTTTCGCACTCCCCGCCGCGATCATCTGCTCCGCGGGCTTCATCATGGGCGAGATGTACACGCGTGCCCAGGTGTCCATCAAGCGGCTTCGCTCCATCAGTTACTCTCCTGTTTTCTCACACTTTACCGACTCCATCTCTGGTCTGAGCGTGATCCGTGCCCGTACTGGTATGGACCAAGTCTTCCAGGCCATGCTCGCAGAAAAGCTAGCCGTTCACTCGCGCACCGCCGAGGCGCAGTACAACTGCAACCGCTGGGTTTCCGTCCGGTCCGACTTCTGCGCGGCCTCTGTCTCAGCCGCAGCCGGCTGCGTCGCCTATTTCTGGTCTGGCTCGGCCGGCCTCGTGGGCTTCTCACTGACCAACGCCATCGGCCTCAGCCAGACGATCCTCACCTTGGTCCGGACCATGAACGAGCTGGAAATCGAGCTCAACTCCTTCCAGCGCATGAAGGAATACGCCGAGATCGAGCCCGAGGAGAGTCTCACCAAGGAAGAGCACCACAAGGCGCTGACCACCCTCCCCGCCAGCTGGCCCACCTCCGGCCGCGTGGAGTTCTCCAACGTCACCGCGCGCTACCAGCCCGACGGGCCCGACGTGCTCCGCGGGGTCTCCTTCGTCGCCCACCCGGGCGAACGCATCGGCATCGTCGGCCGCACTGGAAGCGGCAAGAGTACCCTAGGACTGTCCCTGCTGCGGTTCGTCGACCTCGTCGGCGGCACCATCACCATCGACGGGGTCGACATCAGTCGGATCCTGCTGAACCGCCTCCGCACCAGCGTCACCCTGATCCCGCAGGAACCCGTCCTCTTTTCCGGGACCGTTCAGTCGAACCTGGACCCCTTCGGCGAGTCCAGCGAATCCGAACTCCAGTCTGCTTTATCGGCTTGCACCTCCTCGATTCACGTTCCCGTCCCTGGGCCTGACCACGTGCATACGCACCCTGCCTCGTCAACCGAAGAGGATATCCCCAGTAGACCGAACCGCCGCCCCCTGACCCTCGACACCCTCGTCGCCGCCAACGGCGAGAACTTCAGCCAGGGCCAGCGCCAGGTGCTGAGCCTCTCGCGCGCCCTCTGCCGGCGCTCGAAGGTCGTGCTCCTCGACGAGGCGACGGCCTCCGTCGACCACGAGACGGACATGCACATGCAGCAGGTGCTGCGCGAGATGTTCTCGGACTGCACGATCATCGCGATCGCGCATCGGCTGCGGACGATCATGGATTACGATCGCGTGCTGGTTATGGCTGGTGGGGAGATTGTTGAGTATGTTTTGCCCTTTTTTTCTAGTTTGGTATGGTTTCGATGGAGGAGGCCTGGCTAATGCAGCATCCTCTAGGAACGATTCGCCGCGTAATCTCGTAGCCAAGCAGGGGGTCTTTTGGAATATGTTGAGGAATACGGGCGAGTATGAGGAGTTGGTTGGGATGATTGGGGAGGGTGAGGGGGAGGGAGAGGGGAGATGAACATAGGGGTTTGGGGTGGTTGAAGAGATACATATTTAGTATATCTGGTGATCATGATGACGATGATGATTATGATACATGATTTAGATTGATTTCTTTTTCTTTCTGTTGTTCTTGGGCCGGGTAAATAAATGTATTTGTTTGATGCATCAAGAGGGTCGGAGTATAGTAAAGGGAGTGACGAGAGCGATGTCTTGGATGCATGCTCTTGATAGAAGTTGATATGTCTGTCAATGGCCTTCTTCCACCATGCGGCAACGGAAGCCCCAATGATCATCACGGATGCCTGGTGCAGTGCGAGCCCACCGACTCCCAAGCTAAGGCGTGCTACTCCAGCTGTCCAGCGACTGAGTCCATGTTGACCTCCCACTAATGCCGCACCGCCATTCCCATGCAGCGTGCCTCCGCATCAGCCGCCGGCGGCTCTGGCTGATGGTCTCGCCCCTCAACTGGAACAATCTGCATCTGCATCCGCGTCTACAAAGTCCAGTTCCTCAAATCCCAATCCAACAGACCAACTGAGCCATCCACGCCTCTCAAGGATGATGAAGTTCCTCCTCGACAAGGGCGAGCGAATCCCCCGGTCTGACGATCTCCTGCCGGGCCACACTTCCAAAATCCACCGCGCGATCGTCTGCCCACAGGCCTCGTTCTTCAAAGCGGCAGCGGCATTAGAAAGTGGGCTCGAGGTGCTGCACATCACCCCCCAGTCAACCCTCTTCAAACCCTGTTGCTTCGGCACGAAATTGAACCGGGGGGGGGTTCACGGATCTCCTGGACAAGTAGTATCGGGGGAGCTGTCGCCGTTCCTGCGGAGGGGCACGGCGGTCCTGGACACGGTGGGGGATCTCCTCGCTGGTAACTTGGGGGGTTTTGGACAAGTCGAGGCTGGAGGGGGTGCTGCTGCTGCTGCTGCTGCGGCATCCGGGGCTGCTGTTGGCGGTGGCGAGGGGGCTGGAGGTGTTGGTGGGAGATTACGATGCGGGAATGGGATTTAGCTTGGGGTGAGGATTCTGGTGGTTGGTGTAGGGGTTTTGAGGTGGTGTATGGGGTCGGTTGGGGAGGGCTGGAGTCTGCAGTGGTTTGTGGTCTTGGGTGGGTGGGTTTAGACTTCTCACTTGTGAGCATGATTGCTGGATTTGCTGCCGCTAGTGGATGGGGGTTTTGTCGGTGGGTCTGATTTTGCTTTTACCTCAAATGGGTACCACTAATGTCTATATCTTCAGCTGTGCAGGGTATCAATATCTTGCGTCCCAACGAGCGTGAAGTATAGTTGGGCAAGTCACGATAACTGCACTGCTAAGTAGTAATCGAATATAATTTTACTAATCTGTATATCTACCAGATAAGACAGTATGGCCGAGCGGTCTAAGGCGATAGACTAGAAATCTATTCTCTTCGGAGGCGTCGGTTCAAATCCGACTGCTGTCGTTTTTTGCTTTCTCTTTTGGCTCTGGGGATGCACATTTTTTCCTTCTCGATTTGTGAATTTGATTATACCTGGATACAATTCTTTTTGTTTTCTAGTGGCTAATTGACCTTGTACATATCCTAGTGCTTTGGTGTGTGGAATTAGTCGTTGGTTGTCCACTCACAATTGGCACTAGTTCCGATATTCTCCTATGTATTTCCCTTTGCCAGGCATCATCAGCTAACCACACAATCTATTCTTGGACGAGGATTGGGTCCATTCCAGGCGAGACGGAAGGCTAGAGGGGTAAGGATTAGAAGATCTGTTCATTGTGTCTATTGACCGTGTGGGGGTATAGTTGATATCCGTGATGGCAGAGATAGTGCTCTCCTTCAAGTAGTATATTTTCACCAGTAATAGAATGTCTAAGCAAGTTTTCAACTTTATGAGAAAAAATATATAAGAATCTATACAAACAACATGACTCCAGTGGGTAAAACAGTCTATACAAGCAAGAACTCATGCACAAAGTCGTATAAGGATTCATACAAGTAAGATGGTCGATGTAAGCGAATCGCGCTATGCAGTATACGTATACCCCGTTGACCCTGGGCCAGGCTTACAGCCCAACTGGCTACAGGGAAACTACAGCTCGATCCATTTCTTCAACAGGCCGGCCGATTCCACAGGATTCCCGGTTCACGATCGACCATGGGGGCTCGTTACCTTGGCAAGCGTACCTAGATAGTAGGCAACGTCCTCACCCCCACCCCCAACACTGGCTTCATCGCCTTCCCCATCGTCATGCCAGTTCCATTGCTTGTTGAACCAATTGTTGGTATAGAACCAGGCATAATTATCCGCTAGCACGTCGATTAGCTATGTTCCTCTCAGACGACTCAGGACTTACCATTTTCCTTGACCACGAAATTGGCCTTCTTCTTATCTGCATACAGCCACGCGTACTCGGAACACCGACTGGCTCCGTATACGTCCTGTTCGTCTGGATCAGTGTCCTCTGCTGGCAACGAATTTGAACAGCCATGACCACCGGTAAGGTACGTACCACTTCTGTTGGCCAGCTTGGAAGGGTGGCTTTCTTATCAATAGCCCTCTGACTGCTACCTGTCACAACACCACAGTGCAGAAGCTCGTGGGCGATGACATGTTCGAAACTTTTCAGAGTCTCTAAGTCCTGCGGGGAGTTCTTTCGGCGTTTGTCTTTGAGGTGACCAACGGCCCAGAATTGATCGCAGAAGTGTATCTCCCATTTCCCTAGACGTGTCAATTCTCAGTATCGATGCATAAGAGGGCACGGATAACACTGTCGACTAGAAGCCAGAAGGGCTCACTGACCACTCTTGCTTCTTGTGGGTATGGCGGTGACTGCTCTAGATAGGTGCGTCAAAACAAACAGACAAAAAGCGTCAGCAAGAGTTTCGAAGTGGGTATCATGTTGCAAGCACTGCACTACACACTGCACTGCACTTACGCGGCATTTGGGAGCTGTCTGCATATCTCCGACTGACCGTCACAGCGATACATAATTCTTTTGTCGGGATTCCTATCCTTCCCCTTACTTGGGAACTGATGAACCGAATCCATGATTCCTGAAAGCGCAATGAGTTCTTTTGGCCACCGGAACAAGGCGATGGGGGACCTACCCAGCACTTTCGCATAATGAGTGCCTTGCCCCTAATGTTGTTCATTTCCATCAGCTTACGGTGCTGCTTGAGCAGGAGGCGCATGGACACTGGGTTTGGAAGGAGCACCTACAATCCAGCCTTCCCTTTTCTTGATATGCTTGTCGGAGAGGAAGAAGCGGTTCCACCCCGGCGTACTCACCGGTTGGCTTGGGCGTTCAGTGAGCTGGATGGCCATCCGAGTGGCTTCCACCAGGGTGTTGAACCTGGATCCTCCGCAGTCGTTGGCTGCAAGATCCCAATTGATTCCCTGGTAATTCTTTGTCGCTTTGGCAAGAACATCCTCACGGGCGGCATTCTCGACCGGGGAGCAGAAGGAAAAGGGTAACAGAAACAAGCATAGAAAAAGACGTCTTCCGTACATCGTGACACAGTGCTGGACTCGCCTTGATCGTTTGGATCGAAGAAGCGGAAACCCCGAGTGAAGCTGGATTTTGCTCTGTTATTTATGCCTATGCTGGGGGCAAGTATGCCATCAGCATTCACAGCCATCATTGTCATCATCCCCTCCACCGTCTATTCCTCTGTTCATTTACCCTTTGTAGAGATGAGTAGGACAATTGGCAATAGCTCAAGGCAGCCCTTGAGCCCTGGATGCATCTGTCCTTGCCCTCGAGCCAATTGCCCGCCCCCACTCAATTGTTTGCTCCAGGTCTCGTGAGCATCGTCGACCATTATTGACAATGGGCCTGGTTGGGATTCCAAAGGTTGGTATCACGATTCCGATGCTCGACGCTACACCCGTGTTTGTGCTTCCCCATGTTTCAAATCGTCGTCCTCTGCGTGTGCAAACTGGGGGGTTTAAGTCCAAATTGATATAAGGGGGATAGGGGGAGGCTGAAAAGGGAAAGGAGGAGGAGGTGAATGTTGCACAAGTACAAGTGAGTGCAAACAAAGAGCCGCTGGAAAAGTATTTCTTCTCGATCTCTACCGCACTGTAGCTGTTCCCTCACACTCAATCCCACACACACACACACACACTCTCTCTCTCTCTCTCTCTCTTCTATGATCACAACAGAGCATTCCACCTATCAACATGCTTCGGACAATTATACTACTTACCGTATGGTTTCACCTTCTGTATCTTTCAAGATGTGTCATGGGATTTGAAGGATACTGTGAGTCTGCCCTCATAACTGTTCTTGTGTTCCCCAATGATAATATACCCACTGACTCTGTTGGTCGAACTGCAGCTCTGGGCGTCCACCTTGGCCAGAGATATATGTACTATCCATCCATTTTCAGTGTTCCCTCCCCCGATCTTCCGTTCATCTATACCCTTGCTCACATCTCCTTCTTGCAGAACAGCCGCCTATATCAATGGAAACGACGAAGCCGTCCCTTTGGTCAAGCTTTTCGCCCCTCCAGCATACCAGTATTACATGCAGCAATTGCACGAAGGTTGCAGGGAGAGCAGGTGGGGTTCCCTCCCCACCCCGCGGGGCACACCACCACCCCCGACTGAACCACCCGACCCTCTCCTGCTTTGCTGACGACAGAATCCATGCCCTACAGATTTCACAAATCTGCACACACCCCCGACGACGCGACAATGATCGGTAATCTCCTTCAAGACGTGAAAGATCAAGCCACGCAGCTCCTGGACTACCCGGTCAACATCACGGCGATCAGCCTCCCACGGGATATCGGCTTAGGACCGCACCGCGACCTCACGGCCACGATCATTGCATCTAACGCCACGGCCGTGAGATACGAGTGGGAGTTCCGTGAGTTCCTGCACACCGCCCGGTTGGCGTACGGGCTAGATACGTGCCGGGCTCTGGGGATCAGCGAGGCGGCCGACTGCGATCTGATGGATGAGACGGCGGTGATTCTGTTTGTGGATTATGGGCTGGATGGAAGGTTGAATCTGTATGCCGGGCTGGTCGGTGAAACCGACGTTGACACGGATGATAGTGAGCTGTACCAACGAGGGCGGCATGGGGAGTTTGTGGTGGTGGTGATGGCGGGCGGGAAGGAGGAGGACGATGAGGGTGCTCAAAAGGTGAGTTTGGCCCCGCTACCAGGCTAGTAGAGGAGTCTATGGCTCCTTTTGGATCAACCATATGAGGAAAGCCTTGGCTAACTTTGGTACGTTGTCGCTGGCAACAGGACGCGGTGGAGGATCTCCGTCGCATCCTTGACGGCTTTATCCAAGAACAGATCCTCGGGCCGGGTGACGCACAGTATCTTCGGGCGATCATCATCAGCGGAGACGCATCGGAGGCAGCCATTGACACCCTCAAAAAAGCTCTACAACTGGCCGTCCCGGAGGATTGGAGGCCCCTTGTCCGGGACCAGGTGGACCCATTCTGGGTGGGGGCCGTGGGGGCTGCGCGGCGAGCAAAGATGCATATCGTCGATCCGAGATACAATATCACGGCGTTTGAGGAATGGCTCCAGGACCTCGCGCGCATGCACGACGAGCTTTAGGAGCTCTGCTCTGTGTGGGCCTAGCTGTGGTTCGCTGTAAGTAGTCCGGCTGCAGGGCTGGCCCGACGGAGGGGTACACATACTGGTCGAGGCAGTAGCTCCGAAGGCCGATCACTTACACCCTCCGAGCTCACAAACAACCCTCGTGGTCTCAAAGGCGAGATGAGCATCGGCGACCACATAAATGGGAATGTGAGGCAAGCTACTCGTGCCCAATTGCGACCACCCGGTTCTCCTAGCACCTCTGTACTTGAAAGCTTTCCATACCTCTCGACGGACTGCTTTAGATCGAAACTTACTCTAATGTAAGAGAGTATATACAGTGCTCTTCAGTAACGAGCTCGATTGGCGATATCTCCGGCTTAAGATAATCTGGGACGTTGATAGCTTTACCAATCCTAGTAAGGCTCGTGCCAATATAACTTTACTGAAGCAGGGTAGCTTACAAAGGTAGTTCACATCTACAGCGGCTTCCTTCAAGAGGTGACTGATAAGGCACCAGGCACTGACAGCAGAATCAGGGGCTATTGCAAATCGGCACGAGTAGAGCACCCACCGTATCCAAGGCCCCTGACCAGCTCGTGATGAAAATGATTATGATGCTACAAGCTGCCTGGTTCTTCCTCTGCCAGAAGATTGTATGGTTGACCCCGCCTGGACAAAGTGGAAACAGGTATCAGGAAAGGCGATCCTGCAACGCTTGTTGAAGCATTTACAACGGCCGTAATCAGTAGCATTTTGCCTTCCTCCAGTATCTCGGACGTGTAATGTACAGAACGAGCTTTAACACTAGATGATGTTCACATCGGACTAATTCGTCACGAGAGACTGCCGTGGAACTAAACTCATATCCCAAGCAGACAACGTCCACCACCGGAACCATCACCATCCCCAATACCCCGGCACCTACAACCGCACAGGCTGCTTATCCCCCTCCACAAACAGATGACCCTCGCGCACCAACGAATTCCGACACGGCCGCCTGCCCACAAAATCCGCCAGGTTGGACAACGTCACCTGCGCGATCTCGCCCAGGGCCTCCTGCGTGAAGAAGGCCTGGTGGCCCGCGACCAGCACATTGGGGAAGGTCATCAGCCGCATCAGCGTGTCGTCATGAATGATCTCAGCGGAGTGGTCATTGTAGAACAGATCGCCCTCCTGCTCGTACACGTCCAGCGCCAGCCCGCCCAGCGTGCCGGCCTTGAGCGCCCCGATCGCGTCGCGCGTGTGGATCAGCCCGCCGCGCGAGGTGTTCACCAAAATGGCGCCGCGCTTGAGCCCGCGCAGCGACGCGGCGTTGATGATGTGCTTCGTGGCCTCGGTGAGCGGGCAGTGCAGACTGACGATGTCGGACCGCGCGAGCAGGTCCGCGACGGTGGCGACGTAGCGGCCCGCCAATTGGGTGGTGAATTCGTCTTCGTCTTTGTTTTCCACAGTCCCATCCCTTCCACCTGCTCCCTCCAGCTGCTGCTGCTGCTGCTGCTGCTGCTGCCGCGCCGGATCAAACCCCACCACCTCGCACCCGAACCCGCGCATGATCCGCGCAAACGCCATCCCGATCCGCCCCAGCCCCACCACCCCGACCGTCTTGCCGTGGAGCGTCATCCCCAGGAACCCCTCCAGGTTGAAGTTGCCCTCGCGCACCCGGTTGTACGCCCGGTGCGTTTTGCGGTTCAGCGTCTGCAGCAGCGCGACCGCGAACTCGGCCACCGCCTCGGGCGAGTACGAGGGCACGTTGGCCACGAAGAAGCCCAGCGCTTCCGCCGCCGGGAGGTCGATGTTGTTGAACCCCGCGCACCGGAGCAGGATCGCCCGCACCCCGATGTCCCAGAGGGCTTGGAGGACCGCCGCCGGGAGGCTGTCGTTGACGAAGACGCAGATGGCGGTGCTGTTGCGCGCGAGGGGCACCGTGGAGAGGGTGAGCGGGAAGGGGTGCGCGGTTAGGGTGATGGGCTCGGGGAGGGTGGGTTGTAGGGTGGTGAGGGTGGTGGTGAAGTAGTGGGTGTCGTAGGATTTGGTGGAGAAGAGGGTGAGATTCATTTTGGGGGTGGTGGTGGTGGGGGTGAGGGTGAGGGTGAGGTTGAGGGGGTTGGTGTTGTGGGAGGTGAGGTGTGGGTGTGGGTGTGAATGCGGGGAGGGATTGAGGGGTGGAGGGGTCGGAAGTTTACCTTTTTATAAGGTAAGGTACGGTACAGGGCAGAAGTACTGTCTGTACCTTCTGGGCTGAGGTGGTACCCAGTCAGTAACTTAGTGGTACAGAGTACAAGAGGGGAAGTAATGACGTCGTCCATCCCAGTCATCTCAATCACCGGTCCCTGGCGTTACTCGGCATAATCGGGGTTACACCGGTTTAAGCTTAACCGTGCATGGAGAATGGAGCTACGTTCCATTGCAGATCGAATCGATCGAATCGATCGAATCTGGTCTGCAGCTGCAGTCGGGTTGAGAATCCCCGGAATCGCAATGAAATTAGGGTTGCTGGGATCATCTGATGAGCTGATGCCCACCACGCTGGATCCGACCGGAGGAATGACATTGCCCATGAGTCGAATGGTGCCAGTCTCGACTCATACTCTCCTGCCTGCTGAATTGCACATGCTCCGCACTTCCCATCTATAGCTTCCCGAGCTATACACAGTAGTCCCCTCCATCCAGCCAGCTCCAGCCAGCTCCAGCCAGCTCCACTCCACCGATCTGACATGCCAAGGATCGGCTGATCCACTCGATAATCCTCCCCCCTTTTTATCAGCCCCCCCCGGGGGGTCTTAATCCAACCTAAAGCTTGTGTCCTTCCAGGCTGGCTCATTTTTCCGCTTTTCCCACAGCTCCAGAACAGCAGCATGGATCCAGCCACCTTTATAGACCCCAACCTGACGGTCCCCGACCGGTTGGTCCTGGAGCATCTGCTCAAGGAAGCGGAATCCCCGGCCGCGGCCGCAGCCACAGCCACAGCCGCCGGGAAGAAAAACCGTAACCTCCCCATGGGAATCCCCCAGCAAATGATCCCCAGCTAATTCCGGTACAGCAAACGTCAATGGCAATGACAATGGCAATGACAATGGCAACAGCGCCCACGGCCCAACAGGGCATGAACAAGAAGAAGAGGTTGACTCAGAAACCCAAGCAACCATCACGCACCTGTCAGCCCTCAACAGCCCCTCCAGCAGCAGCTTCACGCCCACCGTCTTCGTGACCTGGGACCTGCCGCAGCTCACCACTTCACTCCCCACCCTTCTGAACGAGTGCCTCCTGCAGCCGTACATCCGCACCGCGCGGGCGCTGGTGCGGGTCGAAACCGACGTGGTGATGCTGACCCACCTGCTGCTGTACTTCACGACCTCCGTCCCCAGCGCCCTGTACCTGTTCTTCGGGACATTCCACTGGTGGCACGGCCTCGTGCACTGGCTCATGCAGTCCTACTACGTGGGCACCTACACCCTGATGATGCACCAGCACATCCACATGGGCGGGATCCTGACCCGCGCGCACCCGCTCGCGGTGCTCTTCGACACCGTGTTCCCCTACCTCCTCGACCCGCTCATGGGCCACACCTGGAACTCCTACTTCTACCACCACGTCAAACATCACCACGTCGAGGGCAACGGGCCGCGCGACCTCTCCAGCACCCTGCGGTACCAGCGCGACTGCCCCCGGGATTTCGCCTGCTACGTGGCCCGCTTCTACTTCCTGGTATGGGTGGAGCTGCCCGCCTACTTCCTGCGGCGCGGGCAGCTGGTCACCGCGGCCAAGGCCGGCTTGTGGGAGCTGGGCACGTACGCCATGATCGCCGCGGCGTGGCGGTGGGGCGGGTGGCGCCCGACGCTGTTCGTGCTGCTGCTGCCCGTGTTGCAGTTGCGGGTGGGCTTGATGGTCGGCAATTGGGGCCAGCATGCCCTGGTGGATGAGATCGACCCGGATTCCGACTTTCGGAGTAGTATTACCTTGATTGATGTGGCTGTACGTGTTTCTCCGTGAACCTCCTACCGGTACGCATACTAACTGGGACGGCAGAGCAACCGCTTCTGCTACAACGACGGCTACCACACCTCGCACCACCTCAACCCCCGCCGCCACTGGCGCGACCACCCCGTCGCCTTCCTGCGCCAGCACCGCCGCTACGCCGCCGAGCAGGCCCTCGTCTTCCGGAACATTGACTACATCATGATCACCATCCGCCTCCTCCGGAAGGATTACCTGCATCTGGCCAAGTGTCTGGTGCCCATGGGGGAGCAGGTCGGGATGACGCTGGAGGAGAAGGCGGAGATGTTGCGCCGGAAGACGCGGCGGTTCAGTGAGGAGGAGATTGCGAGGAAGTTTAAGCTGTAGGGTTTCTTGTTTGCTTGCTTGCCGTGTTTGACTCAGGGGTTATATGTTAGAGTATAAGTTAGGGGTAGGGGCATGCGTTGATTGTGCTGTGCTGTAAATAGCTAGAGAGGGCGCTGGCTGGGGTGTACGTTCGGTGTACTATACTGTCCTGTACATAGTATTCTCTAAAAAAGGAATGCAGTGGAATGACAGACATTACATTAAGATCCTAAATTTACATACATACAACCACTCCCTCACGCTCAACACCTAGGCCTAGAGAGGGAAAGACCACTAAAGAGACGCCTCAAACTTCCCATCCACCTCCTCAATCTTCCGACAAGCCGCCACATACCCCGCCTCCTTCTGCAACAACTCCGCATACCGACTCAACTCCGGATACCCCTCCATCGACAGCCGGCCCGCCATCGCAATCACCGGGAAACTCATCATGATATCCGCCGCCGTCAGCGCCGTCCCACACAGGTACGGCCCACCCCCGGGACTCGTGCGCAGCTGCTCCTCCAGAAAATCCAGATGCGCGGCGATATTGCGATTCAGAAACGCCTTCTCCACCTGCCCGGCCACCACCCGCGGCAGGGGTTTGAGGAAGAACGGGATGGGCGGGTTTTTGACGGCTGTTTCACGGCCGGATATTAGCATTCAGAACAAAAAGCTCCCCCAACAAAGCTCCACCAACAAAGCTCCCCCCAGTATCTTCGATCCAAGGGAGGAGGGGGGGAAGGGGCACGCACTATCCATGACCAACTGCATGACCAAAAACGGCATCAGCGAGCCCTCCGCGTAGTGCATGTAGTACCGATACCGCAGCCACGAGTCGGTCTCGCCGCCGACTGTTTCGGCCCCAGCTTCGGCAGCAGCGGCATACCGCTCCGGGATCAGCGGGGCGTCGGCGTTGGCGCCGTAGTGGTCGAGGAGGTATTCGATGATCAGGCCGGATTCGGCCAGCACGATGGGCTTGTTGCTTTTGGAGTTGCCATCATCGCCTTCTGGCCCGGAGACGGCGGCGGCCGCGGGCTGCACGGTGAGCACCGGTGATTTGCCCAGCGGGTGGATCTCCTTCAGCTCGCGGGGCGCGAGCTTGTCGGCGCCGCGGTGGTAGATCTTCAGCTCGTAGGTGAGGTGCAGCGCTTCGAGGAGCCAGAGGATGCGGTGGGAGCGGGATTGCGCGAGCCTTGATGCCGGGGGATTAGTTGCGGTGCGGTGCGGTGCGGGGCGATGAGAGGGGGATAGAGAGAGGAGCATACCAGTAGAGGGTGATTTTGGCGCCTTTGTTGGGGTCGGTCATTTTGCGTTCTGTTCTGGACTCTGTCACGGTGTGGTGGGTGTAGAAGCGATTGGATGTGCAAGGGGAAAGGGGTGTTATCATTTAAGGCTCAGACGCTGGTGAAGGGAACCTCGGATGTAGGCGTAGAACCTGTGATACTGCGTCATGGCGGTGGGGTTGCCGTTGTGTTCTTTGTTCCAGTCTTTGGGACAGCCTTTCCCCAATTTTCGGGATGATGAGATCGGCGAATGTTTCTCTGCGAGGGGTCTTTCACATGCTGCTGCTTAGTGTGCTGCACCTTTAATTTCTTGAAATGAGGAGTGGGTGAGCTGCAAAGGATCTAGTAGGTAAATAATCCCTGCAGCCTGTACATCCTCATAAAGCTGCTGACTCATCAGTGCACTTCACAGTGCAGCACTGTGACTAAGCAGCACAGCTGTGCACGCACCCATCACATGACCCGCAACGTCGTTCCAGCAGCAGCAGCACAAGCCGTGATCTTCCCCAGCCCATTCGCATCCACATCCACATCCACATCCGTCACCATGGCCGGCCCCAGCAAGTGTACGTCCTCGTCTATCCCTTTCATCACTGCCACAAGATAACTAACTCCATCCCACAGCTTTGATCCTCGACCCGGCCCTCCAGAAATACTACGGTCCGTGAAACCTTTCCCCCCAGACGAAATAGCGCCCGCTTCCGTTCAGTCAAACGACAAGCTCGAATCGACAAGCTACATTTACGGGGGCATGCTAATGACTAGCAGACCTCACCGCCAACCGGTACAAGTACTTCCGGTGGACGCCGCGCCATGCCTGGTTCTCTTTCCTGTACATGGCTCTGATCCCGGGGGCGTTGGGCTATGTGGCGTATAACACTGAGGTATGTGGTTTTCGGATAGGGGGTGGGTAGGGGAGGGGCTAATTGGGGACGACAGGGCAAATACGATTTGCGCGGCAAGCGCAAGGGAGATACGATTGTGGAGTGGTAGAGGGTGATGATCTGGTGGGAAGAGATAGTAGGGCAGAAGGATGGGGGCTGGGTTGTATCTATTATACCGCGGTGCAATTGATTTCGTTTCGTTGATTCATTGGGGGTGGAAGTTGTCGTGCTCGGGATGTACTGGTAGCTGATAGTAGTTGGGATTGGTGAGTAGGTACCACAACTCATAGCAGTTGAGATGGAGGATGCAATTACTGTAACGCGGAGCATTAAAACCGGACAGGCAGTCAATTCCATAGCCGTTAGAAACGGGGTATAATCCATTCCACTCCCCTCAACCCTCACTATCGTACACGCCTGCAATCCCAGCTACTCCAACTACCACCTCAACTCTTCACTGGAAACCCACTGAACAACTAATAAGGCATCCATCCCCTCCTCCCGCCATCCCTATCCCTCTCCCTCCCGCCATTCTCCCGTCTCCCACCACCACCACCACCCCCCTCAGGCAACCTCTCCCCGCGCCTCCAATCCCCCGGCGGAATCCTCTCTCGATCACGGTCCCTCTCCCTCTCCCTCTCCCTCAGCCCACCCCCAAACCCCCGTCCCCCTCTCCCCCCACCCCGTCCAAAATACGACCTCTCCTCCCTCCCCCCCTGGGGAAACGCCCTCATCCCGCCTCCCCCACCACCACCGCCGCCACCCCCGGAACCAACAGGAGGCGGCGGCGCAACCGACCCATCCTCCAGCGGCGGCACAATCGCACAGTCGACATAATCGCCAATCACGAACCGAAAATCCTGCAACGTCTTCTCCGCATCCGCACCGCTCATTCTGAATGCGCCGGCAGCAGCAGCCCTCGCCTTTGAGCCATGTCCACCTCCTCCAGCTCCCTCGCCATCCCCTTCCCCCTTCCCCCCCTCATTGCCATCAGTGTCATCATCATACCCCCTCGGCGCAACAACCACACTCCCCATCTCCTTGGCCAGATACCGTCCCCTTCCATGCTCTCCCAGATTCATCGCCGCGCCCTTGGTGTCCGGGTAGATCAGCCGGAAGCTCAGCCGGGTGCCGATGGGCACCTCCGGGAGGAGGTGGGGCAGGGTCGAGGTCAGGAGGTGGGCGAGTTCGCGGAGCGAGCAGCTCGGCCAGGTGTAGATTTGGAGGTGGTGGGCGGGGAGATGGCCGCCGCTGCGGCCGGCGGGGTTGGCGCTGGCCGGGGAGAAGTCCGATAGGGGGTGGTAGGTGGATTGGCGGTAGAAGAGTTTGAGGTGGAAGGGGGTTGTGGTTTGGCGGGACATTGACATTTTGGCGGGTTTCTGGTAGCGTTGGTTCTTTGGTAGGGGTGTGTGGTTGGGTGGTTGTTAGTTGTTAGTTGTTGGTCATGCTTTGGTCTGCGTGGTTGGTGGTGTGGCTTCGCGTGGAGGGTGGACTGGTGGTTGTGTTTGTAGTTGCTGAAGTTGGAGTTGAAGTTGAAGTAAGGTAAGGTAAGGTAGGTAGGTAGGTGTAGCTAGAGCGAGAGCCGTGGATGCGCGGAACTTGTAGCTTGCAGGTACTGTACGTAGGTAACTCTCCGCCCTGCCCTGGCCGCCCGACCGCCCTACCGCCCTACCGCCCTCCCACGAGATCACCGCCGCAGCGGCAATACCGCAGGTAGGTACTAATCTTATCGTCTAACTAACCTACAACCTTCTCCAGCCCTCCATACAATACACCTCCAAACCCATACTCATACTCTCTAACGTTACCTCCCTCCCTCCCTCCCTTCGTCCCAAACAACACACATCCACTCACGCATGAACATTCATCCCCGACCGCAAAAATGGACTTCGCCGCCTTAATGTCCAAAGAAATCTCCAAGGCCAAAGCCAGCGCCAACCCCCAAACCCCCTCCCCATCACCCACGCCCACTCCCACGACATCGAGCGAACCGAAAAAATACACCCGCCGCGCCGACCTCGAAGCCGCCCGCCTGGCCGCCTACAACGAGGAACAAGCCCGCCTGGCCGCCGAGCGCGCCGCCCGCCACGCCCAGAAGCGCAAGGCCGAGGACGAGGAGGCCGCACGCCGGCGCGAGCGCGAGGACAAGAAGCGGCGGCTGGCGGAGGAGTCGCGCCGGCGGCGGGAGGAGGAGGATGCGCTGCGCGAGCGGGAGAGGCGGCGGCGGCTGGGGCTGCCCGAGTCAACTCCCTCAGAGGGGGAGGTCGGGCAAGATGGGCAGGCAGGGCCAGGGGAAGAGGCGCTCTCGGCGGAGGAGGTGAAGCAGCGGTTGCGGGAGCTGGGGGAGCCGGTGACGCTCTTCGGGGAGGGGGAGAAGGCGCGCGCGCGACGGTACTGGCGGGTGGTGCGGAAGGATGACCTCCGGCCTGATGGCGAGGCGGTGCAGCAGCGACAGAAGTGGACGGACGGGCCGATCCCCACGATGCTGGAGCTGGTGCCCGAGGTGGAGATGAAGATCCCCGCAACCGTCCCGAAGGATGATGCCGGCAAAAAGTTTCTGTTCCGCCAGCTGGCCTCGTATTTCACCATGGTCCTGAAGGAGTGGGAGGCCGCGCTGGCGAACCGCGATGTCTCGGTCAAGCAGAGTCTGCAGGGCCGGCAGGCGTTTAACGCCATGGTGCAGTCGCGCGAGAATATGAAGCCGCTGTTCCGCAAGTTCGAGAAGGGCGATCTCGATGCCGGCGTCTTGGAGCATGTCGTCGAGATCGTCCACAAGGCGCAGCTGCGTCGCTATGTCGATGCTAATGATGCGTATTTGCGGTTGAGTATTGGGAAAGCGTATGTCCCCTGTCTTTCCTCTGATTTGAATGAATCTTGGCTAACAAGTGATTTGGCAGTGCGTGGCCCATCGGTGTGACCATGGTGGGTATCCACGAGCGTTCGGCGCGTGAGAAGCTGCATCAGAGTGATCAGCAGGCCCATATTCTGAGCGACGAGAGCACCCGCAAGTATCTCCAGAGTATCAAGCGGTGTCTCAGCTTCGCTCAGACCCGGTGGCCGCCGGACGACCAGTTGCAGATTATGGGTTGAGTGGGGTTGATGTGTATATGGGTGATATTCTCAGCAGTCACAAATGTTATGATACTAGATATTCATATATTCAAGTTTGAGCAAGTATCATATCTCCGGCTTTATAAACCGCCACAGCTATATACAATCTACGCAGTAGATCATGTCTATTATAAACAGTGCAATCCGTGGCCAGATCTATGGCCTTGTACATAAGATCTTATCATGTACACCATACCCATATCAATTCACATTCCACCATTTTCGGAGCCATTTCCATAGTCCGCCGGGCAAGATCCGCTCCGGGATCGTATATAACACCGATCGATCCTCGTCGCCCTGGGACCAAGTTGCCCCGGCCGGATAGACGTCATGTCCGTCAATCCCCCGCAGAACCCCCACGGAGGACGATGATGGACGCGACGTTTGAGCCGAGCTGTTCCACATCCAGTCTGGTCCCATTGACGCTCCGATGACCTTGCCTGCCGCCTGGACGCAGCTCCCGTAGGAGAACCGGATCAGAGAGTCTCCGGTCAAACTCCCAATGACGAAGACATCCGGCGCCACCTCCATGTCGTTGAGTGCTTTGTCACGTAGAGTCTGGTTGGTTACAATCGAGTCCGCGTCTGTGCGACCCAAGACTTCCGCGAGCAGAGAAGGATCGAGATACTTCAGTGTACCGCGACGGCCCGTGGCATAGACCAGCCCACGAACAGCACGGACGAGGGTTTGCCCGTCGGGCTGACGGAACGTGACGAGCGCCTGGTCGGCCTCCATCTCGACGTTGACAATCTCCAGATTGGGAAGACCCTCGTAGACCTCGTCCCATTTCCGCGATTCCAGGAACGGCGTTGACGTCGTCCGTCGCATCTTGCCCCGTTTGGGCGGTGCTGGGGCCGCCGCCAATGCCGCCCGTTTCATCAAACGGTACACTCCGGCATATTCCGGGTAAGCCTGGTGATGGCACCCCCGTAGAGGAGACGGCCGGCCTTCTGGATCCCACCTGAAGGCATGCAGGATCTTTTGATCCTTAGGGGCGGAGATGATGACATCGGCCGCAGAGAATCCCGAGCCGATCACCAGCAACGGGATGGAGGGGACCGGTTCAAGGGACCGCAAGGGCTGCAGCAGTGGACTCGGCTGCAGCACCTCGGTGAAGATCCCCGTGGCCAGGACCAGGTGTTTACAATGGAGATTGTGGGAGCGGATATAGAAGCCCTGGTCCGTGCGCGAGATCCCCGACAGGGTTTCGTTGAAGCGGAAGACATCGCCGATGTGCACGGCCCCGGGATACCGACGGAAGTAATCCGCCGTCTCCTGCCGGCTGGGCCGCGTAAATGCCGGCAGATCCTTCCCGGTCACTGCACGGTGGTGGTCGGCGAACGAATACCCCGGCAGCGACAACATCGATGCATAGCTCAGGGTCTGGATGTCCCAGCTCGCAGGCATGGGATTCTCGGTCCATTGACCGCCAGCGCACGCGGCGTCGCCAAACACCAAATGGGGCACGGCCTTTTCAGGCTCGTACCGCCATTCGACGTTGGTGACGCACTCCAGCTCCTCGACGTCCAGACTGGGTCGCACCAGGGTGTCGAGGAGCACGTTGACCGGCAGGGCCTGGGTCGAGTAGGACAAGCGCGAGGCGGCAAAATGCTCAGTCAGCGTGCTCACGTCGGCCTGAAGCAGAGCCGGGTTCTGCAGCAGCTTGGCATGCAGCAGGGGATCCGGGTGCGGCGGATCGGCTTGATAGTAGGGAATATGACCATGGAAGATGTAGGACAGGATCATGGCTGACGGGCCGTTCCCTGGAGGAGGATTAGAGTTGCCTGGTCATACGGAAGGTCCAATTGCGAGGCGCAAGGATATAAATGACGACATACCGACAATGATGGTGTCAGTGCTATCCATTGAAGGCCGCTGGGAGACCGCCGGCCGCCCATCCAGCGCGGGGCATGCTGACGGAGACATGCGCGGGGAATGCGATCAGTGGATCCCAGCGGAAAAGCAGACAGATGCCGAGCGGAAGGCCATCGAGCGGCCGTTACATGAGAAGAGCTGGAGGAGAACGATAGAAGAAAGGAAAGAAGATGGTGAGAGAAAAGAAGAAGAGTAGGGAGGGGAGGAGGAGGAGGGCGATTCCGCAGGCGGACAATGGGACCGTTCGATTTTCGCTGACAAAACACCGTTGGAGGAGAAGTCGGGATTTGGCCGTAATCGGGGAATATTTCTAGAAATACGATGAGAATATGTAATCATGACCCGGCCGTGGTTCCGCCCCCGTCCAGCCAAGGAAATCGGCTTTGAGAGAGCGAGATGAATCTGGGGTTGGAAAACAAGGAAAAAAGAAGCATCGGGAAGTATTGAAGGAGAAGTTGAAGATGTTCGGCCATTGTTCTTGACTTCTTATACTGAGTAACTACCACCACCAACTCCAAAATCACACCATGCAGTGTGTCATGACCATCTCCTGATGATAATAACAAAAAACTGCGCCTGCAGGTTGCCTCCTGCATCTCTTTCTGCCACTGACAGGCAACGGATCGACCCTGCATTTCACATGCCGGTTAAGTTCCTCCTCTGCGGGGTCAACGCTTCGGGCAATTAGGGCTCAGGGCAATGACCCAAGCCCTGCTTACCGCTTCAGGACGGAGTACGGACGGACAGACAGACAGACAGACAGGCTGACGCGGAGCCTCCCTTCCCGCATGGGCTTCGCCCTCGCCTTGACGATAAGCACGACCCCAGCGGAGAAAGAGGAAGAAAGGAAGGAGAAGAGCGCATCTCGCACCACCACCACGACGCTGCCATGACATGATCGACACTCCGCGACTCATCTCCCATCCAATTTGATCCGGATCCTTCGGAGGGGTTGTTGCAACCACCACCCCCCAACTCACACCATGTATCACCTCGCCAAGTCGCTGTACATGTACGCTACGAGTAAAGAGGGTGAGTATGCTCCCTTCCTCCCCCCTTCTCTCCGGTCGCTACGTCCAGATTCTGATGATAATCCACAACCAGAATACTCCGTCCTCCTCCTCGGCCTCGACAACGCCGGCAAAACCACCCTCCTCTCCCAGATCAAGGCCCTCTACCAGCCCCCGCGCGCCGATGGCAGCCTCCCGGCCTCGCTCCTCCCCGCCAGCATCGGCAAGACCGTCCCCACCGTCGGCCAGAACGTCGCCACCATCTCGCTGCCGGACATGTACCTGAAGATCTGGGACGTGGGCGGCCAGATCTCCATGCGCAACCTCTGGCAGAGCTACTACGCCAGCTGCCACGCCATCATCTTCGTCGTCGACAGCGCCGACGTCGGCCAGGACCCGGACATCACGCGGCTCCCGCAGCGGCGGCGCGCGAGCGGGGGCGTTGCCGCTGTTGGCGATGACGGCAGCAAGACGGCAGCTGCAGCTGCAGACGAGGAGGACGAGGACGAGGCCGAGGATGAGGAGGGCGGCGACCTCGGATCCACCTCCCCGACGAACGTGACCTTCACGGCCGAGAATGTCGGGATCAACGCCCCCGGGAGCGACTTCGGGCGGCTGGACGAGTGCCGGCAGGTGCTGGAGTCGGTGCTGAAGCACGCGGACGTCGCCGGGGTGCCCATCCTGGTGCTGGCCAACAAGCAGGACCGCGAGGACTCGGTCGAGGTCGTCCGCATCAAGGAAGGGTTCGTGCGCAAGGTCTTCGAGGGCGAGTCCGGGGCGGGCGTGCGCGACAGCCGCGTGCTGCCGGTGAGTGCGCTGATGGGGTCCGGCGTGCAGGAGGCGGTGGAGTGGGTGCAGAGTCGCGTCAAGTGGAATAAGGAGGGGCGGCCGCCGGTGATGCGGTGATTGTCTTCTCTCTGGAGGGGCTCGATCATTATGCTGCCCTCAAACTATAATCCGCACCTCCGGCTGGGAATTCCCGCCCTTGGAAATATTTTTGTCTTGTCGTTCGGCGTCGGGGGAGCATCGTGTTTATGCAAAGATACCTATTCTGATTGAAATGATTCTGCTTTTGTGTGATTCTTGATGATACCTGTTAAAGTTCCCATGTGCACAGATAGCCAGCCACCTTATTGCATCGGTCAATAGAACTAGATACAAGAAGAAATAGACCTGTGGAAGGTTGTAAGGCCTCACCTCACCTCACCTCACCTCACCTCACCTCACCTCACCTCACCTCACCTCACCTCACCTCACCTACATCATCAGGCACCGATCAACCGTCTCACATAGTATGATCGACCCAACAGCATAACACACAACTCACATCATCAATACTCACGGAGCATACTCATCCGATCGACCTGCACATATCTCATCAAACATGCTAACCCCCACAAGGTGAGCATCACCACCACTATGAATATTCCATCAAACAACATCATCGCATCCCCACCCGCACAACCACCCGAAACCGGCCCTTTCCGGGAAAAAGAAAAAGCCCAGTACACAAAAGTCCAGACCCGTCAAGTGGCATGCAATCCATGCATTGCATGACGTTATCCTGGATACTCAAGGGGCACCCGGGAGGAGATGGGAGGGGAGGGTAGGTGAGAGAGATGAAGTCAGTCGAAGTCACCTTGACGTAAACCCCCCCCCCTCCCTTCCCGCCGCCCGCGGAAGCCCTAACTTACCTGCTGTGTAGCTTTCATCCCCCCCTCCCCCCTACTTATAAGGTCCGTCTGTCCATGCGAGAGCTAGAAGTTTTGAAGATCAATTAGAATCCCATTCCAGAATACACTACGATCCGCCCACGAATCACGCGACGCTACCTTTTCCCTTTTATCTTGTATTAAGTCTATACCAACACACCATCCAAAATGAGCCACTTCAGCAACTTCGACTCCGTTGCCAACCCCCAGCAGGGCGAGTTCAAGCCCTCCGTTAAGCCTACCGGCCCTCTCGAGGAGGGAGGGGTATGTTTTCCCTACGTCGTCTATAACTCCAGACCTGAGAATCGAAGCTGACAGACAGTGCAGCACCAACCCGGCCGCAAGGTCGCGCCCGCCGACTTCGCCCCGGAGTTCCGCGCCGAGACATACCCGGCCGGCACGGCGCCCGCCTCCAACTCCTACAGCGCCAACACCACCAGCGAGGTCGGCGGCCAGGCCCTGAACCCCAACGTCGAGCGGAGCCACGGCAAGGAGTCCGTCAAGACCTCCGCCGCCGACACCCTGATGGGCGCCACCTCGCGGGACGTGCACACCGGCCTGGGCCACCCGGGCTCCGGCCAGTCCAGCGCCGAGCTGCACCACGACGGCCAGCCCGGCCGCAAGGGCCAGACCGCTGGCCTCGAGCAGGTTGGCGCCTACGCCGACAGCAAGCTCGAGCGTGACATCCCCGGCCAGCAGGCGCTCGACCGCGACGAGGCCCACCTCGCCGGCCCGCGCGGCGACAAGGGTGCTCTCGCGGCCGAGGACCGCCAGCCCGAGCCCGCTACCACCGCAGCCGCCGAGTGGAAGTATGAGCCCGGCACCAAGCGGGACAACACCCACAAGCACTGAGTCTTCCTTCACAAAATTTCGGGGCTGGACCCTGGTGAATCTCTTATGGACACAAAAGGAACCTGTTTTTTTTTCGAGCGAGAAGGTTTCCCACGAATGCTCATGTATGATTAATTTGATGAGAAGAATTCAATGATGCTTGTCATGAAGGGTATCTGAAGGGTGTCTATACACTGTAGTGAAGATGTAGATCGCCAATGGTGAATAAATGGGTATTATGAAAAAGGGTAAGATTTGGTCAGTTTGCATGTAGGCGCTCGCGGTCGTTCTTCTGCTCGTTCCCTAGTGAGTGGCTGTCGTTCTGTTGTTGTATTTTCTTCGGCCAGCTGCGTGCGATATCGATGTTCGCCCGCGGGAACCACATCTCCAAAAAGGCGTAGAGAAGAAAGTCAATCACCACGCACAGACAGAAGAGCTTGCCTGCCCACACACCGCATCCATAGTATCGTTTCAGCCGATCGATCAGCGCGAAGCTGCGCACACGGTCGCCGCTAGCCTCCAGACCCTCGCCCGGGTAGTACCCGTAAAACTCCTCCGGGCTGATATCCCCGGAGATCCCCTGGTAGACTCGCTCGGTGCGCTGGGCAACGTCGGTCCAGGAATACATCATCTTCACTTGATCATGGAAACGATCCGTCCGCACCTTGTTCGACCGCAAGGCAGCGATGGCCTTTCCAGTTGCTAGGACAATATCGTCCTCCTCAGGCTTTGAGAACGTCGTCATGTGCTGAGGCAGCACCTCGGGGATACCACCAACTCGTGTGCACACCACGTACAATCCACAGCTGGCGGCCTCGACTATGACCGTACCAAAGGCTTCGGTCAAGCTGGGGTGGAGGTAGATGTGGCCACGGACCATGACGTCTCGAACCTCCTCATGCCGGACCGGTCCCAGCATTTCAACCTTGTCCTGCAACACGTTGCGCTCCAACATCTGCTCCAGATCGATCGCCTTGGGGCCGGACCCCGCAATAATGAACCGTACATTCGGGTGCGACGCGAGGATTCTCGGGATAGCTGCGATGAGCAGATCGGTACCCTTATTGTAGAAGAGACGGGAAATGACGACGATCGTGATGGTATCATTGGGGCCGATGGGCTTCATGGACCGCGGTTCTGCCGGCCGGAAGTTCTCAGCCACCACCGCGTTCGGGATCACAGACACCATCAGCGGGTCCAGGGAGGCTCGAAGGACTGTATTCTCTTTACTGCGCGCAGGTCAGTCGGGCCTTTCTGGGAGAAACTGCGATTAAGTACTTACCAAGTATGACTGACACAAATGACGTGGTCAACGTCGCTCAGGATGAACTTGAGCAATTTGTTGGTCAAGATGGATGCCGCGTCCGCAAAGCCAAAAAGCGAATGGTCAGTGAACACTGTCCGCAGACCCATGGTGCGCGCATGAAGAATGGCCTCATGACAGAAGCTACTCAAGCTCGCATGACCATGGACGATCTGGATCTGCTCGCGGATGACAATGTTGCGGAAGATCGGAAAGAAAGAGAAGACCGTCGGCATGGTCGACTCCCGGTGGATCACAAAGAATGGGACATGGTAAACCTTGAGCCCGTTTGTCAAGTATCGCACCCCGGTCCGCCCTTTGTACGCATGTGTGATGATGATGACTTTATGTCCGCGATCGATGAGCTTCTGTTGGCTGGTGAGTAGACCATCATGGAGGGTAGGGATGAAGTATCGTCGCTTACGGTCGAGAGCTGGTAGATGTGACTTTCCACCCCACCTATAAATCTCAGCATGTCAGTATATGGCCAGACATTTGGAGGGCAGTATGCCTACCTGGTTGGGGGAAGAAGAAGTCACTGACCATACTGTGCAGACCATTAGACTCGCTCCGAGAACCACATGCGACGGGACTCACGCAATGTTGTAGGGCATGGCTGCGGCTGGCCCTGAGCTGACTTCGAGAGACTCTGCGCGGTTGTCAATCCAATCCGCTCACCCACCGTCCATATCACACTCAGTCACCACGTCCAATCCACAAAAAAGGGAGGTTTGTGTGGGCGACAGGAGGAGAACGGAGGTCGAATGAGGCCTTCCCGAAAGGGCCACGCGCGGGCGGCGGTGGAGGCGGTGTGGCGTTCTGCCGCCTCAAAGATTCCCCGCTGGAAAAAAGAAAGACTCGCAACAACAGGCAAGATCGCCGCATTTCCCCAAACACCCCTCTTCGCACGTCCGCCCAGGACCTCTTTTGACCTCGCGATCATGGCCGGCGACCGCTCCGTACGTCAGGATACGTCCCACATGAGCTCAGGAACCCCGTCGAGCACGAAAAAGTCTCACAAGAGGAAGAGAGACCTCGATGGCTCCACCGTCGCTACCTCGACACCCACGCCGACCAAGAAATCCAAGAAAGATCCGGGTGCTGCGGCCGACTCCACCCCGTCCTCCGACGTCCGCAAGAAGAGAAAGCGATCCACGGGGGCGGCCGACGGTGCTGTTCCGGAAGTATCGACCCCGAAGGAGAGTGCTGTCTCGTCGATCCGCAGCGAAGCGCCTACTCCAAGCAAGGACGCTAAAGACAAGAAGAAATCGAAGCACTCGAAGCGACGGACATCAGGAACTGCTATCGAATCGGCTGAGGAACCTGCGAATCTAGACGATGTTGAAGAGAAGAGCGCCAAGGACTCAAAGAAGTCTGCCCGAGATTCAGAATCTACTCAGGCCGATGACGGCGATGCGAAACAGAAGGACAAGTTTGCGGGCATCAGGTCGAAGTTTGAAAAGTCTATGAAGGCGAGAGAGCTGGAAAAAGCACGCAAGAAGGATACGGTTGAAGACGACTCTTCAGGACTGTTGACGGCTGAACCGGTTGTAGCACAAGGCTTGGAACCTCTACCACAGCCTGAGCAAGTCCCTGAGGTGTTTGAGAAGCCTACATACTCGTCGCTTCCGGCCTGGTTGGCCAATCCCTTGCGGACCTCGGCGACCGAGAAGACGAAGTTCTCTGAATTGGGGATTAATGCGAACCTGCTGCGGGTATTGGAGGATAACGGCTACAAGGAAGCGTTTGCTGTGCAGTCGGCAGTCATTCCTCTGCTACTCCAGGGTCCCAAGAACCACGCCGGCGATGTCTGTGTCTCTGCAGCCACGGGCTCCGGAAAGACCCTATCTTACGTTCTACCGCTCGTGACCGCGCTTGAGCAGATCCCTGCCCCTCGGCTGCGGGGTCTCATTGTCGTGCCAACCCGAGAACTGGTGAAGCAGGCCCGCGAGGCGTGTGAGCTGTGTGCTGCTGGCTCCGGCCTGCGCGTGGGATCGGCTGTGGGTAACGTAGCCATCAAGGACGAGCAGCGCTCGTTGATGCGCATCGACCAGGTGTACGGGCCCGCGACGTTCCAGCGCCGCCAGAACGTGAAAATGACCGGGGACGACTGGACCAACTTCAACTTGCAGGACTATATCTCCGATGCGGTGGATTCGAGCGAGGCTCTGCCGGGGTACGTGCACCGTTCGGAACCGAACGTTGACATCCTCATCTGTACCCCGGGTCGACTTGTCGACCACATCCGCTACACCAAAGGCTTTACGCTGAAACACTTGGAGTGGCTCGTGATCGACGAGGCTGATCGGTTGCTCAACGAGAGCTTCCAAGAATGGGTTGACGTGGTCATGAATTCGCTGGATGTGCGCCGATCCCCCGAGGCGTTTGGCTTCAGCGGGACTTTCCTGTCGGAGCTGGGCCTCCCGATCCACAGCAGAGAGCCAAGGAAGGTGGTTCTGAGTGCGACCATGACCCGGGACGTGACCAAGTTGAATTCTCTCCGACTCGCCAACCCCAAGCTCGTCATTGTGGGTTCCACCGAAACCGCCGCCGTCGGCGACGACGAGAGTGGCGTGATCGCCGGCGCCGACGAGCAGTTCACCCTGCCGCCGACCTTGAAGGAGCACTCGATCTCGGTGGGCGATGGGTCGCTGAAGCCACTCTACCTGCTGCGCCTCCTCCTCTCCCACATCCGAATCAACGGCACCAAACAACCGGCCAAGGCCTCCGATTCGGACACTTCGGACGATACCGCCGACGAAACATCCTCCGACGAAGAAACCTCCTCGGACGAGTCCAGCTCGGACGATTCAGACTCAGATTCGGACTCAGACTCCGACTCGGACACATCCAGTTCAGGCTCGGACTCTGATTCAGACGACACCTCCGACAGCGAGTCTGATTCTTCGAGTTCTTCGGACAGCGACAGCGATAGCGACAGCTCCACCTCTACCTCCACCTCCCCAACCAAAGCCACCCGCCTCCGCCCCTCCAACACACAAACAAACACGCCGACCGTCCTCATCTTCACCAAATCCTCCGAATCCGCCTCGCGTCTCGCGCGCCTGCTCGCGCTGCTAGACCCGACCCTCGCCTCCCGCACAGGCACGATCATCAAGTCCAACAAATCCTCGGCCTCGCGCAAGACGCTGACCGCCTACCGCCGCGGCAAGCTCTCGATCATCATCGCGACGGACCGCGCCTCGCGCGGCCTGGACCTGCCCCGCCTGACGCACGTGGTCAACTACGACGTGCCGACCAGCGTGACGACCTACGTGCACCGCGTGGGCCGCACGGCGCGCGCCGGCCTGCTGGGGCAGGCCTACACGCTCGTCGCCCACCGCGAGGGCAAGTGGTTCGCGCAGCAGATCGGCGGCGCGGCGGACGGGAAGATCGTGCGTGGTATTGCTGGTGGTGCCGACCCGCAGAAAATGCACCGGGTGACCGTCAGCCTGGAGGGGATGAAGGAGGCGCGCAAGCGGTATGCGGAGGCGTTGGACGTGTTGGAGCGGGAGGTGCGGAGCGGGGGGAAGGAGACGCGGTAGGTCTGTTTGCGGTGTTGTCGGTCTAAGGACAGGACAGGACAGTGAGGCAGATCAGCCGTGGAGGGGGGAGGGGAGGTTACGGGCTTGTTATTCCCGGAGTATGTTATCGAATATAGACTAAAATTCTGCACGGAGGGCGTTGGCTTTGCTGTTGTTATCATTCTTATGGACCTTACTAGTGGTTAGGGGGGAGGAGTGTGTACTGTATATAGCGTGTTATTCTTGCTTGCTTGCTTGCTTGCTTGCTCTCTCGCAAAGAAAGGGAATAATTCCTCCTTTACTTCGCTGCACTGAAAATAGTACCGAACGTGGAACTTTTACATGCGTTCGTTAACTATGCACAACCACTCGGTGGTAGTCGGTTCGTCGATGGCGGACATAAGCCAACCTAAGCTTTTTCATCTAGCCCTGACCCCTCACGCACTCGTCCTATTACGATATATACACCACCCTCCCTCCCAAGTTCCCTCTTACCCCACCCCCAGCCACAGAAGAACAATCTACTCATCCCCCTTCACCCCCTGCACCTCCTCCGGCCACTTCACCAACACCACCGCCTCCCCCACCAACTCGACCTCGACCACGACCTCGCGCTCATTATTCAAGGCCACCTCATAGCGCCCCGGAAACAGCACGGAATTCCCGTCGTCATCGACCCTCGCCAACCGATCCACCGCCACAGGCACATTCAACACCGCCGTGCCCCCCTCCTTGGCCACGGCACCGAGCCTATCGAACCCGACGAGCCATTTATTCGGGTACGGGGACGGGCCCGCACTCGAGGTGTTGGCGTACAGCAGGGCGGTGTAATCGGAGTCCCTGGCCCCGGAATTCGTGATGGACGCCGTGAAGTTGAAGAGGGTGTGTTGGGCGACGGTGGTGGTGTCCGGGTGTGCGGAGGAGGTGAGGTCTGTGATGTTGAATGTATACTTCTTCGCTGCTGCTGCTGCCGCTGCTGCTGCGGAGGTCGTGTTCTGGGTGGAAGAGGGCAGGGAGGAAGCCTTGAAGGTGGTGTAGAAGAGGCCGTGGCCGAATTCGTAGACGGGTTCGCCGGTGTACCACATGTAGGTTTGGCCTGGGTTGTTGGTGGTGGTGTTGGGCCGCAGGTTCATGTCGAGCGCCGAGAAGCTCTCGGCGTAGGAGGCGGGGTACTGGGTCGTGGTGAGGCGGCCGGCCGGGGCGCGGGCGCCCGTGAGGATGTCGCGGAGGGCGAGGCCGCCGGATTGGCCCGGGTAGCCGCCCCAGAGGAGGGCGTTGACCTTCGGGTTTGCTTTCAGGGCGGACGAGTCGACCTGCCCGCCGCCCATTTGGTACACCACCAGGGGCTGGGACTCGGATTTCTGCGCGGCCAGTTGCGCGATCAGCTCGAGCTGGTTGCCGGGCCAGGCGATCGAGCTGCGGTCTTGGGCTTCCGCCTCGATGGTGTTGTCGATCCCGCCGAAGAATACGATGGTGTCGGCGGCGCGCGCGGCGGAGAGCGCGGCGCTGAAGTTCGCCGTCGAGTTCGTGGAGATCTCCGTGCCGGCGGCGTAGTGGACCGTGTAGCCGGCGGCCGTGAAGGCGTCGACTGGGCTGATGAGGTATGGCGCCGCGCCGTAGTAGTTGCCCTGGAGCTGGGTGGTGGCGTTGGCCCAGGGGCCGATGAGGGCGATGGATTTGTTCTTACCCGAGGAGGAGGAGGGAAGCGGGAGGGCGCCGTCATTCTTCAGGAGGACGATGCCCTCGACTGCCGCTTCGTAGGAGATGTTCCATGCGTCTGTCTTTTGGACGTCGGACCAGCTCAGGCTGCGGTACGGGCTGCTGCTGCTGTTGCCGTCGAAGTAGCCCAGCCGGACGAGGTTGGCGTACAGCCGGATGAGCCCGCGCTCGATGTCGTCGCGGGCGACCGCCCCGGTGGTGATGGACTCATTGAAGTGGTACTGGTAGGAGGTGCCGCAGTCGATGTCGGTGCCAGCGAGGATAGAGTCGGCGGCGGCACTGGACTCGTTGGCCGCGTAGCCGTGGGGGTTGAAGACGCCGTAGACGGCGCCGCAGTCGCCGGAGACGTAGCCGTGGTCGACGAAGGAGAAGGTGTCGCGCAGGAGGGTCTGCAGGAAGAAGGTGTTGGAGCAGCTGGGCACGCCGTTGACGGCGTTGTAGGAGCACATAACACTGTGAACGCGGGCATCGCGCGTGGCCACGAGGAACTGCGGCGTGTAGTACTCGGCCAGGTCTTGCTGCGTGATGTTGACATCGTTCCCCAGCCGGGAGTGGTTGTCCCAGTTCTCGATGTCATAGCCAGCAAAGTGCTTGGCTGTTGCTGCGAGCTTCAGATGCTCTGGGTCCACGCCACCCTGGATACCCGTGATGTATTCGTAGGCGTAGGCGGCTGTGAGAGTGTACGCATCCTCGCCCGGAGTTTCCTGTCCGCGACCCCAGACGGGGTGACGGAAGGCATTGATGTTGGGGGCGTAGACATCGAGACCGTAGCGGCCGGCGTTGTTGAAGGCGCGACCCTGAGTTGAGATAATGGAGGCGATCTGGTTGATCAGGGTGCGATTAAAGGCAGCAGCGGAGAGAATGGGCGAGGGGAAGGATGTCGCCCAGCTGTAAGCCCCCTCGTCCGTGAAATTGCCGCGGTCCAGGCCATGCAAGGCCTCACTCCAGACTTGGTATGGAGGCAGGCCTAGACGCGGGACACCCGGGCTGGTATTACCAGTGTTGGCGATGAGCTCCTCGAGGGTGAAGAGGGAGATCAGGGCCGCGGCGCGGTCATAGGGCGAGGCGGTCGAGTCGCAGACGACGTTCTTGCTCAGAGGACCGCTCTGGCAGTCGGGGAAGGACAAGGAGATTGTATCCAGACATTGCGGAAACAAGTCCGGGTTGGCCTCGACGTTGTAATCCACGTAGCTGCTGTTATGTTGGGCCAGAGCTTGGGGCAACAGCGCCAGCAGAGCAAGAGCCGCCACAGCCATGGCGGTGGTTGTGGTTGAACGGAGGGTGAGAGGAATTGGGGGAATTGGGGGAATTGGGGGAATTGGGGGAATTGAGCGACAACGTCATACTGAAACCTCAATTGTGCCGGCAAATGTGAAGGAATTTATAGTCGAGTTGAAGCGTCGAGTCGAGTCAAGCCGAGTATAGATGCGGGGTGGCTGCGGAGAAACCGGCGATGTGGTGCAAGAGGCGTGTCGATCATCTTCCCTTGCTCACTTTAGCCTGAATCCTTCCCTAGCTTCATGTTGCTTGATCTTGCTTTAGCCGGAGAGGAGCTGAGGAGGAGCTGAGGAAGAGTTGAGGAGGAGTTGAGGAGAAGAAGGGGCAGGCGAAGGAAGCTGCGTCACAGTCGGGTAAATGAGCTTGTCGGACATCATCCGATGTGGTGCGATTCTTTTCTCGCGTCTTGCCATTTTTTTTTTGGCTCAATTCACCCACCGACACTACATCTACCGGTGCTCTCGGCAGTTGCGAGCAGAAAAAAGCATCTTTGCGAATTCTTGAATCGTTGAGGCCCGCACCCTGGACAGGCTAATGTCTACAACGTCTCGTGTTCTCTCGGACGGACACTGACGAGGTGATGTGGATTCCGACTCGGGTCATGCACCTCCACTAGTATCAACGATATAGCTGCATAAAGCTCACTACTCGACAGCAACAACAGCACCATACAAAGACTATCAAGAATCGAATGAAGAAGTACAGAATCGACGACTTTTAAATTACCTCTATATCTAGAAAATCCCCCTTCATCTGAACATTAAAATATACTATATAATCACATCATTGCTCTGCTCCTGCCGATTATCATCTAAAAAAAGTCAAACTAGATAGCATCCTTAGCCAAAGCCTCACTCTCGATCGCCACCACCGTGGGACCCTGGTAATCCCCCTTCTTCGCCACCCAGATGCCCGCAATCAGGATCGTGAACCCGCCAGTGATCAGACACGTGTAGTTCATCGTCTCGGCATCCACGGGCATCGAGAACGGGAAACAGAAGATCACGATGAACACGATGATGAAGGCGCACGTGACACCGTTCACGATGAAGCCCACGGGGCCGGACATCCAGAACCACCCGCGGGGGATGCCCTGACGCCCGCGCAGGAGGTGCGGCAGGATGGCCGCGAGGTAGGAGATGGTGGTGAGGACGACGAACGAGCTGACGAAGGCGCTGAAGGCGGTGGAGTTGCCGACGTAGATACAACCCAGGACGAGGGGGATGACGCCGCTGACGAGCACGGCGGCGAGGGGGTTCTTGTGCGTCGGGTCGACGCGGCGGAGGTAGCCGCTGAAGGGGGTGGCGCCGTCGCGGGCGAGCGTCCACAGGACACGGCTGGAGGTGAGGTAGCAGCCGATGATGGCCACGACCAAGGGGAGGAGCGAGACAATGATCAGACCCAGGGAGCCGCCGCGGGAGCCGGTGATCTGGACGTAGATCTCGGTCAAGGGGTAGAGGTAGGGGGCGTCGAGGACGGCGTCCAGGTCCGTGATCCCGTAGAAGATGACGATGAGATAGAGGAACGCCGTGAAGAAGCCCATGACGTACTGTGCCAGCATGCCGATGGGGATGTTCTTGCCCGGTTGCGGGACCTCTTCCGCCAGGTGCGAAATCACGTCCGGCGTGCCGACGGCAAACGCTCCGTTCAACATTCCCAAACAGAATACGAAACCGTTGCTGCTGTAGCCGGCTTCATTGAGCCAGTCTCGCCAGACAAAGTCGTCGGTCGCATAGGGTTGGCCGTTGACGTGCGGCATCACCGCGCACACAATCACCGTGATCAGGAAGCCAGCCACCGTCAATGCTCCCCCGACGGATTCGATCATGGGAAGCGCCCGGTTGGCAAAGGCGACGGTCAGACAGCAGCCGATCGAGCAAATCAGGTAGGCAATGAAGACGTGCCAACGCTGGATGGTGTACTCGGGGTGGAAGAGCGCGTAGGCCGACACCACCTGTGTGCCTAGAATCTGCGTCGTAGATGCGGCGCCGAAGATCCAGGCCAGAAAGTTCCACCATCCGGCGAAGAAGCCGACCGAACGTCCGTATCTACCAGCGGTGATGGTTGCCCAGTGGTAGACTGTTGAGCGAACGAATTAATCATTAGTCCTTTGATCATCAGTCCTCTCATGGTGGGATTGGACTCACCTCCACCGGAGGATGGCATGGACGAGGCCAGCTCGGCCAGGGAGGCGGCGATGAACCAGTAAAAGAAGGAGGCAGCGATCCTGCAAGCGACAGTCAGCTTTCTGCTCCTTATACCTGAATCCATGCAGTAGAATCGACGTACATCTCATAGATGACACCGGGCGGGCCGCCATCATAGATAGCTGTGACCTGTAATGGCAGTCAGTCACTATCCACTACTACTACCACCACCACTATGGCCAACAAGATACACATACAATACTTCCACCCAAGGCGATCCAGGTATTTCCACTGGTCAAAGCCAGACCACAGATATTGATGAAGCCAAAATTCCGATCCAGCTCCTGCTTGTGACCGGAAGCATTGATGGGGGCCGAGACAGACGAACGACGACCGTCGGAGGGGGAATGCAACTCAATCGCCGCGGGATCGCCGGCATATTGCTTGGCCTCATGCTGCTGCTGCTCCATGCTGTTTAGGTGCGAAGCATGGGAAGATCTTATCTTATCCGTAAGGCTGGAAAGAGGATCGATCAAAGGAAGAAGAAGAAAAGAGAAAAGCTGCAAAAGAAGAAGGAGAAGAAGAAGCAAACAGGAAAGAGGGAAAAAAGGACCAGGGGCAGAGAGAGACTGGTTTTGCTTGAGTGCTTTTTCAATCTTCTCAACTTTCCACTAATGCATGCAGGGTTAATTACTTCTTCGCCTCCCGCCGAAAAGTTCAGCAGGCTGCAGGACCATGAGGAAGAAGAGCGAGAGCGCGAGATCTCGATCGTACGACGACCGGAGAGCGGCAAGGGGGGAAGAGAGCCTGGGAGGCAGAGACAGCCAACGAGAGGAGGGAGCAGTATGCGATTCCCCATTTGGTGTGTGGTTAGTTCATCCTTGGGTCAAAGTTAAAGGATATTAACTTTGCCCCGATGGATGAAGCATTGAAGCAGAAGGCAGGGATCGACACGATGGGGAGTAGGAGTCGACTCATTCGACCTCGGAGAGAGTAAAGCATGCAAGCGGAAGAAGATGAGGAGGAGCCATGGATGAGAATGGTTAAGTCATCATGCATGTCAAGTTATTCAACAAACAACTACTACGTAGAATAGACAGGCACGCGACACACCCCTGACTCTTTGCAGATGCATTTGTTGCATGCATAAATTGACTCACAACTATGACACTCCCTCCCTCCGTTATCAAGAAGAAGATATAATCAACCTGACACATGGCTGTAGCCTCAGGCTGTCTACCAGCCCATAACCAGCCAACAACCAGCCAATAACCAGCTGAACACGCCAAGCGACAACCGATATTACACCAATTCCACTAAAGGTACTACACATTGTCTACAGTAAAGTACTATCAAAAGCAATATCCGAAGCTCATCTGGCCAGCAATCGACCCCATACAACTCCCCAAAGCACAGATCATTCCCCGGTCCCTGAGGACCACAGGTTAGACATTTGGACATTCAAATTGGTCACGGAATCTTCGGAAATCCGGACGGAGCGTGCCGTTGCCCACACCAAGCCAAGTCACCAGCGAAAAAACCTCTCAAACTTTCAACTGTCCGTCTGCCGGCTCCACCAGCCGCAGTCAACGAATCTCCGTTCTCCATACTTCAGGAACTCGTCCCAACCAAGAACAAGTTACAAAGGATGCTGGCGTAAGACAATTCAGAACACTAACCAAGTGGATTCGTAGGACCAATCTCCGGTGGAGATTAGGCCACACTAATCCTTAAACACTTTATGCATTTGAGACAAGCTGCAAAGTTAATTTGCATCGCATTGCTGCATTCATTCCTGGTGGTCTAACCAGTTGAAGTGAGCATCGACCTCGTGCCTGCCAGGGTTTGTACCTGCAGCTGATCAACCTGCAGGTGAGATATCAAAGAGCAATGCTTGTTCCAGCAACCCAACGGTCGGTCGGTCGCTCTTATTCTGCAGACCGAGTCTTCGTCCGAAACAAACATGAATGATTGCGCACGCCTGATGTAGAGCCGGCGCCATCTCGAACGGTCCCGTGCTAGATCCAACTAGCCCAGCCAAAGCAGCAGGGGTGTAAGGGTTTTTCAAGCCGGAGGCGGAAATTCCATCCTCTTTCGAAGATTATGCCCGGCCCGTTGCGACTACTATTCCTTTAGTTGCTGGACTAGAAAGCCCAATCGACCCTCGCTTCGCTTATTCTTGGCCTGTTGCGCGAACTTCCGGTCTCGTGCAGATTTCTGTCTTGAGAGTTGCACACGATAACCTCTCGGGTATGCTCCCCGAAGAACCTGAAGCCAGCGAAACAGCACGAGAGTCAGCCTAAACATCCAGAGTGATCCTACTCATTCAACTTGGGATAGTCGCGATCGCGACAACTGTGACTGTCCGAAGTCCACGCTTCTGCTCCGGAAGCGACCGACCCGGAGGATACAGGCTGTCGGATAGTGATCCGGAACCAGGAGCTCGTATCGTCCTTCGGATGATATATATTTAATATCGTTGACGCGAAGGATTCGCCTCTAAACATAGGCGGAACGAGGTGAAACTAGGGGATACTTCCTACACCTCGGAAGGATTTTTCTTGCTCGCCTATGGTATCCGAGACAGCATTGATTGAAAAATGCACATGGAGTCGGTCAACGTGCGAAACGAGTCCTCCGTATTCTCAAAGAGAGTCACTTAACTGTGGTATAACTTCGTACAATGAATAGCTTCCTGCGCTAAGTTTGCTGCTCATGATCACATAGAATGAGCCAGTGAGCCATGATGTCGATCGCGCTCCTCAATGTCTAACGCCTGAACCGAATACTGCCGACCTTCATCGTAGGCTTTTTGCAACTGAGCAAAGCGTCGCGCGACCGCAGTGGTTTTGCTCGTCGAACACCAAGACTTTTAGAATGGTAGGGGAATTGCAGAAAGTTCTAACATGGTCAGCAAATCACTCCACCCAAGTGCTATCCACACCTAGGAGCAGCTGAGAGCCAGCTGCTTGAAGAACGACTACACTGTTAGCGCTTGCGATCAATGCTTGTTGTTTAATTCTGGACAATACAGGCGAGCCGTGACATAAAGAATGACCGGGAATGGCTCTTTTCTGGCCGCTACGAGTAGGTGAAAGTGTAGGAGCGTGCGATAAAGCAGCACTTGGCCCAAGTTTGAGACTGGAGACAAAACCTGGCGGTATCCTTAAGATTCTTCGCAAACAACGAAAAAGCTTGATGTCGCCCCTACAGGTAGTTTAATCCTAGACGATCGTCCGATGAGAGCAGCAAACATCCCAGTTTCGGAAGACTCGATAAATTTTGGCATGCTCTTACCGTCCGACCTGCAAAAAGACAATATCTCGTCCTTCCAAGGGACCGTCGTGGTCGGGACTAATGGCAAGGGCTGCTCAGGTTGAGAATGTAGAGGATCCACTGACGTTGAACCGTGAGTCGCAATGTAATTTGCTTTCTGCTGCACGTTCCTCGGATGATGAGCACACCGCGGTGCGAATGCATCGCATGCAGGATGAAGCAAACATCCTTAATCCAACAACACAGCAGTCGCTTGTCGATGGTCAGTGTGCGTTCACCCGTGACGAAGTCCTTTGACAGCGGCGACAGATTTTTGTGATTTAACATAATATCTACCCGAGCTTAGCGAAACCTCTCGATCGACCGACATGAGAATGGCACTGTCTGGTCATCAATGCCGATGCAACGACCAGTTGTCAGATGCTTCGACAGACTGACGTGTGATCGTACCCGTAGCTGATGCAGACAAGGGCTGTCAAGCAACACGCGAAGGGAGGACAGATTGCACCGAATGACTGTCATTACCTCGTCCTGCTGATAGAGATGCAGCATCTCTTCCGTGTGTTTGCACTTCTGTCAAGCCATCTCGACTGATCGTAAGCCACAATCTCGGCTCGAAACATATCGGTGACATTGGTAGTTTGTATACATTCTGCCGATAGTCTGACATGAGCCTGCGCGAACGACGGTGACACCTCAACGCGAAGAGCACATGCACATCAAGCATCTGTCATGAGCATGCACAATCACCGGACAAACGGGATCGCGCTGATTAGTTGGGGGACATCGCAGTCTCAAGTGGCGGTCTGTAAAGGGCTTGTCGAGTCATATCGCAGGCATCGGGCGAGTGAGAGCCATGCGGCGTCGATACGAGAAATGGATCATTTGAGCCGGAGGCTGCAACAACTAAGAAGCTCCGACGCGCTCGGCGTCGGGTTGTGAGCAGGGTCATCCTGGAGTCCGACTGTACAGTCTCCGATCTACTCTGCCCTCGGTCGCAACGCGATTCGCGCATACAGCGCTTCGAGATCAATAGCAGACAGTTCCGATATTTTGTCGTCCTAGGGCATCAACAGGGATCCAGGCATGATTCACACCAGGTTCACACGTGTCATGGGGCTAAGACGCCATCGGGACTATGAGCTGCATATTCAATTCACGTACAGGGTACGCGTTGGGCGGCATGCTGTACCCCTCGAGCGCAGCCCGTATGTGAGTAACACAGGGACGCAGGTGCGGGGTACACCAGATTGCGCATCGAGTGTCAGCTGTCACGGAAGCGCCCTAAGCGATCCCCTCCAAAGGCATGAGAGTCGAGTCGGTACGGTTCCTGTCGAGACATCTCGATATCGACATAGAGCCTCGATGCTGCCCAGCTCGTTCTGGGCCCGACAACCACCCGCAACTGGTTGTCGTCTCGGTCTATAGGCCGCGAAGGGTGCCATATCCTGATTTGGACCAACTTAGGAACCCCTCATATGACGCACTGATTACATTCGGGGTTGCAGATACACACGTGTCAGCGCCATTGGATCTTGGACACGGTCGATCCAGGCTATTGAGGCCTTGGGGGAGGGGTGGCTAGACTGCAAACTGGTCCGTGTTCAGTCAGGTTGCATTGTATCTGATCGGCTCGGAGAAAGGGTGCCATGTGACGCAAGCTTTCCCGGTTGTTACTGGGATCGGAAATTGAAGTACCCAAGTACCACTGGTATGGAAGTGAGAGTCCCCTAATTAGCCTGTCGAGTTGGAGTCAATGAAGTGGCTGGTTGAAGAGCCTCCGAAGTATTGGTACACAGCTGTGAGACTGAAATGTGCCTTGAGTGGGGTTCGCGATGCGATCTTATCTTGACTGACGCCATAGATAACAGTAATGGAGGGACCCTGGCGTCATCGGCAGCGAGATGGGTTTGGCTGTGAGAACCAGACCGTCAGCATAGGGTTTTCTTCGGCAAAACCACCCTCAAGTCGATGATCAGGAAACGGGCGTCGTGTTAGCCTGTGTTGTTGGTAAAGACTTTCTTACCCCCTCATCCCGACAACGCAGAGACGGTCGATGTACATACAGTACAGTAGTACTTGCAAGCCGCGCCCTCTACCCCGCCTGCATTCCGTGCGCTGCAGATCGACCCCTCAAACAAACCCGAGACCGCTCATCCTTTCAAACTGATTCTTGATACATGCCAACTGGGGTGATCAGAGAAGGGGTAACTGACATTGCACCCCAAGTCCCCAGAGTCTCGGGTCGGTGACCTGAAGGGGGAATGGATGAACTTCCCCAATCAATCCCATTCTCATTGTATGAGCATATGCTGCGTAACGGTGGCAAGGACTGTTCTTGGAATGATTTCGGTGAGAGCTGAGGTTTAGCTAACAACAATCTGATTGAATGATAACAGTCCACCTGGTTCGGGACAGGCAATGTTGGAGAACATGGAATCGAACCCCGCCGCCACTGAGCCGCCCGGTGATTGCGATTAGGGAGAGTCTCCTCCCCGCTATCGTGGCGGCGGGGAGGTCAGTCAGGTGACCGATGAGCGCCCGGTGAAGACACAGCCATGAGGGTTGAGGGC